CTGCTGCAGCTCTGACTGTGCTCTCGCCAGCAATGCCATGTCTACCCTTCCCCACACGTTTGTGTGCAGGGAGCCGCAGAATTGCCGGAGAACAATTTGGCATCTACAATATCGACACACCAGCGTAGATCATATCTGACTCTACCGAGAATGTCACAGCAGTGATTTAAATGAAGGCAGTTGTCTCCTGGGCCCCTGAGTTATGACAGATTTTAAAATTCTCAGAACCCATTGACGGCTGTTATTTTCTCAACATCTACATCATTTAAGTAGTCTACATTCTGTCATGATAGATGTCAGAAGAGTGAAATCTGATCTAAACTGACATGTTGTTGTAGCCCCCTTGGGGTCGTGGCTTTGCAGACCTCGTGAATGTCTGTCGGTGGCCTGCACAGTTGGGGCAGGCAGAGATGGGTGTCATTTCCCACGTTTTGCACTGAGGGAGCAGATGCTGTGTTTACAAAGAGGAACCAAGCTGGCCTGGGGTGCAGCGGCCCCTGCTCGGTCTCCACAGTCAGTGCTGGGCACTGCTATCCCACGTGGCCTCTGTGCAGCAAGAATTTAAGCCGCGGCAAGAAGCTGGAAACATCAGGGTAGCCTCTTGAGTTACCCCAGTGCCCCCCATCCTGGGTACGAATAAGAGGTTAAGTAGGTGCTGCCGCTGTAAATGCCTTAAGAATTATCCAGGTTAAAATAGTGTACACTGGAACAGGCTTCGCAGATGACGGTTGCCCACCCTTTTTTATGTTACTCCCTTCCTCCTGCCACTCTGCGCAGCCCCCTGTGTATGTGAGCATCTCCCCAGACTGCACCCCAGCATGTGAGCAGGTACACAGGAAAGAGGATTGACAGATCACAAAATGGGGCTTTGTCCCAAATCCAGATCTTTTGCATTGATAAGAACATAATCCATTTGGGTTGACTTAATCAGGCCAAGTATAGAACAGTCCTCCTTGTGCAAATCACTAAACTACTTTATAACTAGGCTCAGTGTGAACAAAATAAAATATATTTAAAAATTTGTGAGTTGTAAACTATGACATCAGTGATTATTACCACACAAAATAAATTTGGGTGAAGAAGAATATATATATATATATATATATATACATTTTTTAAGATTGATTTATTGATTTATTGATTTTATTTATTTATACAAGCACTGGGTACAGTCAGAAGCGCGGGAGGGTGAGAGAATTCACCAGAGCCAGAGCGAGGAGCAGAGCAGGCAGAAGGACCGAAGTACACTGCTGAGGGGAGCAGCGGGCGGCAGGAGAGGTCTGCACGCCATGTGGAACCCTCCTCCGGTGGCCGGGGAGCAGCCGAGGATCGAACCGGCGCCGCAGAGGCTGCGGGCAGCTTCACAACCCAGGGCTCAAGCACTGCGCCACCAGGGAGGTCCCAAGAGCAACATATTTTTACTCCTTTCCAGAGATTAGGGGAGGATAAGGGATGGGTGGGTGTTTTTCTCTGAATCAGGGGTTCTCACCTGGGTGATTTGCCTGTTCCTCCCCGGGGACATTTAGCAGTGTCTGGGTATTCATTATCATTACTGCGATGGCAGATACTACTGATCTCTAGTGCCAGGGATGCCGCAGAACATGCCACAATGCAGAGAACAGTCCCCCTTGAGAAAGCATTATCCAGCCCCAAAAGTTGATATGTGTTAGCTTGAGAAACCCTGCTATATTTGCCAATCTTTATAGTGGATTACCTTTTATTTAGTTAATTCAGACAAGAAAATAATGCTTATACTTGTAATACTCTGTTATGTTCTGGCCTTGGCAGTCTGGCCTACATTGAAATAAACTGGCCACATGTGAAGCCCTAAAATTCAGGCAGCTGACGACAGCAGCAGTGGGCCAGATCTAGTGGTAAGAGGGGAGGAAGGTGAAGAGCTACATGATTACAACACGCAGGCCTGCCTGATGCCTGGAAGGGGCATCTGAGTGTGCTTTGGGCCCCAGCAGTGGCAGCATCACCTGGGAGCTTGAGAGAAAAGCACATGCTTAGGTCCCCCTCAGACCTACTGAATCGGAATCTAAGTTGGGGCAATATTCCCCCATGGTGCTGAAGAGCACTGGGGTGGGGTGGAGTGACGGGCAGTTTTCTACTTTGGAGGAAAGCATGCATTGTCTTAAATTGTGCCTCTGCTCTTGTTGACCTTGAGCAAGTCATTCACTTCACCACCTGACTCTGCATTGGGGACCAGCCTGCCTCACATGGTTGATAGGAGACTCAGACGAGCTTATTTTGTTAAGGACTGGGCACATGGTAAAAGCCCAACACATTGAACAGTGATTGACAACTGGGAAGAAAAGGCAAAAGAAGACAACTCAGGGCAGCAGTATGTTGACTTCAGCCTCACAGTCGTCATCACCAAACAGCGCTTGTATGCTTTGTGGACCTAAATCCTCCAAATAACAGTGAAACCTGGAGCTCCGTAAGCTTCTGTAGACTCTGGTCCTTGTCAGCCTCCCGGTTGGCAGAAGCTGGTGCATCAAGGGCTAAACAGCCAAGACCCTAGGACGTGGTCCACCAGCCCCACCTGAGCTGGGCACCAGAATCAGAAAGCAGCGCGGTTGGAATTTTCATGCCCTCGAGAAGGAACACTGTGGCAAACAGGAAAGATGGGGTGCAAGGAAGGACACCAGGTGAGGTGAACCCTGGTTTGATTCGTAGGAGCAATGGGAAAGAATTTCCAGATGGATCCTCACAGAACGGGCCCCTGGGTTCTGCATTGTGCATGGATCAGAGGCCTGGGTGCTGCTCTTGCCACTGCTTTAGCGCCGCTGCGCCAGCCAGGACCGCTCACAAGAGTGCTCTTTGGAAATAAGACTCATGAACTAGTCGGAGCGTGAACTCTTCCAGCGTGAGATAAAGCAGAACTTGAATCACAACTACAGTGTCCAGCAGCATTTCAGCAGCCAAGATGGTAAAAGAATTCAACAAACAAAAATAATCCAGGAAAGGACTCATAAATGGAAGACTTGGAACTGCAGAGCAGATTTGTAGTTTAAATTTTGGATTATAAAAAAAAATTATACAGGAAATACAAATACATGCGTGCTCCAGCCCAGCAGTTACTTATCCTTTTATCCAGGTTGTGTATCCAGCAACTGCTGAGTACCACGGACTATATTTGGTGCTGGACAAACTCTCCTTGACATGGTGCTAGCCTTGTTAGAGCTTACTGTTGAGGGCTGTATTTAGAAGTGGTTCCTTCTAGTTTTTTTTTTTTTTTTCCCCTGTGCCGTTACTGGATACGTTGATAGCAAACAATAAGAGCAACATTCGTGCTGCATGTTGGACCCTGTCTTAGGTGCTTTATATCATACATATTGACTCAGTCGCTATAACCGCATCCTGTTGTACAGATGTGTGACCCATACAAGGAGGCTGAGGCAGAGAGAGCTTCAGCAGTTTGCTAAAGGTCAGATACCACCAGTAAATGCACAGTCTTGATGACAGTCCGGGTAGCCTGACTTCAGAACCTGCCCTATTAATCACTAAATTAATTCTGCCCCTCATAATAATAAAACTGAGATCATACTCTCCAGACAATTTTGATTCCTGCTTTAGTTTTGACCGTTACACATGAGCAGCATTCTGTAAGATGCCTAAGAAGTTGAATTGTAATTTATTCATTTGTTTTGATAGCATAATAAATTATGCATATATAAAAATGTGATAAGCATTTAATTGCTCAACAGTGGGCATAAACCATTTTCCATGCGTGTCATAATCTTTTTAATTCAGTAATTTTAAGAGTTATTATGATGGAAAAATTTCTCTAGGAAATGAAATATTTTGTGGCTTGTGTTTTATTTCACAGATCTCACAGAGGAAAACAAACCCAACTTTAGATAAGATAATGAGCAGTCAGTGGTGACAGCTGCTATAGAAATTCTGAACATGGAATTGAATTGGCACTTTTGACTAAAAGAGATTGGGTGTTGTATTAGGGGTGAATGTGAGGCTCATTTTGCTTTCGAAGCACTGTGCACACCCTGTGCCAAGGCTACGATTTTATTTAGCTTCAGTTTAGACAGAGGTTTGTGAGTGGTGTCCTCTGAGGTCCCCTTGTGTGCAAACTCTGCTGCTTTGTAACTAGTTTCCTAGTGAGCAGGTGGTGCTTCTCTGTGCCTGCCTGTAAGGTATTTGTGGGTTATAACAAAACAGCATCTGCTGTTAAGAAAAGTACAAATTCATGAAATGTAAAGAGATTCCAAGTGGAAAGTAGAGGCTTAAAACTTGACATCACTAGGAACCCTTAGAGGGATGTCAATGGGGGAGCATGGGCATCCAAGCCAGGCAGACCCAGGTGAGGGTCTCAACATATATGCTTGTTCTGGGCAAGCCACTTGGCTTCTCTGAGCCTTAGTTTCATCTTCAGACTGCTACCTTCCTTCTGGAGTTGTCGAGATTAGATGCGGCTGTCTAGAATAAATGCCTGGCACAGTGCCCAGCTCTTGGTAAAGGATTTGTTAATGGTCCCTGTTATAATTGGCTATAAAGCATATTTTAATCTTCTCTCCAAGTGCCTGGCCTCATAACACACTGGCTTGAAATGCACATAAGAGCTAGACTGGCTCGACCACTTCTAGCTCACTGACCTTGGGCCAGCTGCTTCAATTCCCATTTGCTTTCCTTTAAAACTGAATGGTACAGTCCCCGTGTCTTAGGATGGCTGAGTGTTAAATAAGTTCATGGGCATAAAGGCCTCAGAATAGTCTGACACATAGTAAGTACATAAACTCAGAAGATCAAAACATACCCCAAAAAGTAGGTTCCTGAAAACATTTCCTCAGCTGCTGCAACTGTTGCTCACCATTTGATGTATAATTTGCAACTCAGATGTGGTTTATTCCAGTGCATATTACAACGAGAATTTTGAATTTGGTGATACCATCATGTAATATTTGAACAAGAAGGCTTTTCTGATTTGACACTGTTTAAAATATAATTTTAAAAAATGACTCCTGGAATTGCTTTTCCAGATTATTCAGAGCTGGGAGAGCTCCCTCCGAGATCGCCTCTAGAACCAGTTTGTGAAGATGGACCTTTTGGCCCGGTACCGGAGGAAAAGAAAAGGACTTCACGCGAGCTTCGTGAGCTGTGGAGAAAGGCCATTCTCCAGCAGATACTGCTCCTCAGAATGGAGAAGGAAAATCAGAAGCTACAAGGTCGGTTTGCCATTTCTCATATAAGCAATTCTGATATTTTTATCTTGGATCTGGAATGAATCACTTCAGACATAAAACTTGAAAAAAAAAAAGGCAGCTTCTCTGTTAAAGCATATATGTTTACCTTTTCAAAATAATCTGTTTACCCTTTCAGAGTGGACACTATTTGCTTTCTAGGGATCTAATGAAAACCTCACCAATTGTTTTCATTAGTCCTTATAAAGTCATTTTTAGCATATTGTCTAGAGCTTTCTAAGGTACCTCCTTCAAATGTAAGCTTTCATTTCCTGAACTGTATTTTTGTTTTGTTTTTTCTCTCTGCCCCTGCTTTGTCCCCACCCATTGTCTGTACCTGGGTATTAATATGAACTGATCCTGTGTAAATTATTAAAATTCATAGCCCCACTCTGTGCATTTTTATTTTTATTTTTTTTAAAGATTGATGTATTTGTGCATACAAGACCTGGGGTACAGGCCAGGGGTGTGAGGGGGGTGAGAGGATTCACCAGAGACAGAGTGGGGAACAGAACAGGCGGATTGACTCAAATACATCGTTGAGGGGAGCACTGGGTGAGACAGGCGAGGTCTGCTGCACCATGTGGGTAGCTCCTTGGCTGGGGGATTGAACTCGTGCTACAGAGGCTGCAGATTGCTTCATAGGTTGCATCTTAACCCTTTGTGCCACCAGGGAGGCCCATTCTCTGTGCATTTTTAGTGAGGGTGCAGATAACCTGTAAAACAGGACTCAGTGTCAACATTAGCTGGGCTCTACCTGTACTGAGAACAAGTATCTGCATTCAGATGCTCTGCCCTGAGCTCTGCCCCCTTTGGTAACAAGGATCTGCATTGACATCAAGATGTTTTAGGTATAGAGGCCTCATTTAATCATGCTGATTACCTCGGGAGGCTGGTATTAGCCTAAGGAGGAAACCAAGGCGCAGAGAAGCCAAGAAACTTGCCCATGGTCATATCAGTATCTAAATAAGACATGAACTTTGAAAGTTTAGATTTTGTTCATTTCCTGTTTCCATCCTATCATTTGAACTAATAAAAACTATTTTCAAAGTACTGAGCATCTGTGTGTGTACCCTGAGTGGTAAAGTGGTAAGAGCATGGACCGAGCTGGGCAGAGCTGCCTAGATGTAAGATGATGAGTGTTTTGCTCCGAAGTCGGGGCGCACCTTCCTGCAGAAAGCTGTGCAGGTGGTTCAGGCATGCCCCCTGCCCAGAGCAGTTTTGCCAATAGAGTACTTTTCACCAAACGTCCTCATTGATTCTAAACCCTCACCTTTTATCTTGATGTTTGTATAGAACTAAAGGTATGAAAACTCCAAATCTGCTGAATAAGGTTTATAGTTCAACTAAGTATGTCAGCTTTGACCAAAAACAGGAAGTTAAATAGGGAGTAAGAAGGTCCTTTGATATAAAAGCAGTCGACACTGGGAATAGCTGCTGTGGATGGACTGAGCTCCCTAGCACACGGCCTCAGAGCTGAGGGATGCTGGGGGTGCTGTGGAGGGGGATGCATATGTCTCCTCCTGCTTTATATTTACATGTTTTTGGTGTGTTTTTGAAGGCAATTCTGAAAGCAGGTATCTAAAGGAGATGTGACAGCGATGGCATCTGTGAGCCTGTCATTAGCTGAATGACAGTTTTGAAGCACAGCACTTAAATCCATTTATGTGTTGACTGGACTTAGCAAGTCAGTTATAGTCGGATGTAGGTCATAAGCCTCGTAAACCTGAGTGCCTCGCCTGGCTAATCTTGCAGATGACAGCCGTGGCAAATGTGGGCACAGCTGTAAAGTAGGGATCAAGGCTTCTTGGGAGGAATGGAGACTGTAATTGATGAGACAAGCCCAGCTTGCCACAAAAGCAAAGCCTGTGTGAAGCTGTACAACTGATGACTACAGTCTAGAGTGAGCAGGGAGAGCTTCCTATGTTACCTGCAACGCCTTACCTAGTATTGCATTAAGTTCACCTGCCCTCGCCCGCATCTTTCTATTTCACCTGTCAGTGTTCAGTTCTGCACAGGCTTTCGTTTTTACTGTCTGAAATCATTTCTCTATTTAGCCCTGTAAGCCTTATCATGTTTGTTTACCTTTGTGGTAAAAACACAATAAGCTGACTGTACATAATATAGAACGCATCATCAATGTATATGGTACCTGTGTTGCTGAGAAAAGAATAATCAATAAGAGCCTAATCATGAATTGCCTAAAAATATTTAGTAAGTTTTGTTGGGGTGAGATGGAGGACAGAACTTTTTCGTTTTATTGTAGAAGCAAGGTTTGACAAGAACAAACCAGGGATGTGCACTATGTATTAAGGAGAGTCACTCTACTGCATTTCCCCCAATTGCTTTATAAAGAAATGTTAAAACTGGGAGTGACTGATGATCACGGGTTCAGGCTGACTTGCATGTTGCCTGGGAAAGAAATTAAAGAACATGTATCAGGAGGGTCTTGCTATGCGTAAGTCAGTTTTGTGACTTTGAAATATGTGGATCAAATCTCACTGCTTTTCTGGAATTACCACATCTGAGAAAGCACCAAACCATATCATCTAAATTTACGTCACTCTATGGTAGACCATTGGAAACGGAATTGTGCTTTCCCCAAAGTTAAAGAGCAAAATCCCAGTGGTGCTGGACCTAAAATGCACTGCCTCTGTCCCGAATCAGCAGGCCTTTCCTCTGCCCCCTCTTATTAAGCAAAGATGTGAGCAGCAAAATGCAGGATGGTGGGATGTAGCTCAGGACGGTCACGCGTGTTGGTCAGCAGGTGACTGGTTGTTGAAATGATTCATCATGATGCCTCATTTCATGATGAACTACAAAGATTAAAATGTTACAGATACTCCATCTGCATAATGTGATAACTCATTGAATTTTGAGTTGTCATTGAAGATATTTGAATTTTAAAAAGGTTTTCCCCTGGTTAAACAAATGCTGCATGATGGTTGTAAAAAATATTAAACATTGAGTGCAGTTTTTCTAAAATCTCTACAAGTTTGGGGGTCATTTAATTAGCCCCCCGGTCACTCAGCCCTCTTTTTCTAAACTTTCATAAGAGATAGTAGCGGTTGGGTGAGGGCATTTGTTAGTGGAGCAGAGTTGGGGTGGTCATGCATAAACCCCCCATGCCATGGGCTGGCTTGTCAGCTTGAACATCAGTCCAAAGGCCATGGCAGCTCTTTCATCCATGTTACATGGTGATACATGTTCTAGATGACTCTTGCAAAGGTACATTTGGCCTCATTTGGCTCCAGATACCCCCAAATGTCCACTGAATACTGGGAGTAAAGTTAAGCCTTACAAATATCTGTGGTGTCTCAACATCTTCAACTAAACTTTCACCTTTGTGTATGCTGGTTTATTAAATATTGAGATAAAGATTTCTGTAAAACTACTATTAAAATAGTGCACGTAATGCTGTGAACAGCTTGGTCTTGTATTGGAAGTTTTGACCATGGAGCCCTGGCTTTTGTTGGAGGTGTGCACCAGTGCCTGGGTTGATGAGACATTTGGGGGCCGCTGATTTTTGCCAGTATTGTCAGGAGACTGAAACAGCAGGATGCTGCGCAGGCTGACAGCAGAAAGCTTGGAACAAGCCTTTCCAGCTGAATCTTTTGGCCAGATATTTCTGTACTGTTGACCTCAGAGCAGGATGCCCATGTTGCTCATGGGCTGTTTGGTGTAGCCAGACGTGCTCGCAGCAGAATTTGCTGCCAGAGAAATGTGCATTGGCATGGAGAGCCCAGTGCTGCTTGCAGTCACTGTTGAGCAAGAGTAGTGCTGAACCCGAGTTGCCACAGGGGCTGACTCAACTCTCAGGACATGTACAGTGTGTTGTGTTAGCCAAAAAAATCTGGGGTTGATGTAAAAAAAATCCTGTAGGTATAGGGGATTTTTTGATGGGATCTTGGAAATGATTTCTTCAAAGAAAGAAGGAAAAGAATAAAGGTGGTAGATGGAGAATCACAAAAGTAGGGAGGCAGTGTGAGGCCTGGAGGCACTCAGTCATCTGCCAGCTGCTAAGTAACACAAGCTGGTTGTCTCTGAGCTTGTGTTTCTGCACCCACAGGAGGAGGCTTGGGTGAGGGATCTCTTCAGTCTTTCAGTGCCATCTTCAGAGTATTTGTACTAGAAGGCAGTGATTGGGGGTCAGTGGAGTAGACAATTCATGCATCCAATAAGCAAGGTCTTACCATCAGGTTGCCATTAGCCAACTGAGTGAGCACTAGCTCAGTGTCTAATGTGGAAAATGACAGTTGCTTATTTTAGGTTTTTAGTGCGTTATGTGTAAAGGAACCTTTTGTCCCCTCTATTATTTGTCTTTCTATTTTTGATAATTTGTGGAGCACTTGCAGATATTTTATAGATGTTTAGTATATTTCAACTCACTTAATCCTCACCAGAGCACTTAATGAAGTGGCTGTAATTTTCATTTAAAAAGTAATAGGAAATCGAGTTCAGATGCATAGCAGTTAAGCCTGAGGCTTTCCATGCTGCCCCTAGCACTGGGTCCTGGGCAGAGTAAAGAGTCTGCTCAAGCTTGGACTCCTGAATAAAATGGGGGTGCGGTGGGGAGTCAGACTCACGGGAGGTGTGCACAGACTTACCAATGTCTGCAGGACTAAGATCCAAGTGATGCCAATAAGCTGAACAACTTAGATGAAATGGACAAACTTCTTGAACCATGCAAATTACCAAAACTGAAAGGAAGAGAAAGAAAAGAAAATCCAAATTTATAGATCAGGTTTGGTTTGAAACCATCTCACACAAAGAAAACTCTAGACCCAGATAGCTCCTCTGGATTCTAGCAAATATTTAAGGACCCTAATGGACACTGCCTAGTCCTGGAAAGACAGTCTAGTTAACAACGCCGGCAAGACCCCAGCTGGTGGAGAAGGGGTAGGGGTCCAGGCTACCTCTGCCTCCTGCTCTGGCACCTGGGGTTGCTGTTCAGCGCTGGGTACCTCAGTTTTTTCATCCAAAACCATGCCTTGGAGTATCATCAAGATTAAAAATTACTATGAAGTATTTAAGACACCGAATATTATAAAGAATTTGTCAGCTGCGCAGAAGCCAGTATTAACTTATACTTAGCTACATACCTTAACTGCTCTTCTAATAAATTCATTATCTGGATCAGAGACATGGTGTGGGATGATTCTGGGACTGATAATTCACTGCCACTATGTATAAATAGAAATTGGTGGTTTTAGGTGGGAGTGAGGTTGTCAGTTTTAATCTTTCTTAGAATCATTAATTAAAGGTTTTCCTTTATTTTTCTCACCCCCCACCACCACTTTAGTAATTTTGGTATAGTTTTTAATGCAGTGTTAAGCTGAATAATATTGGTGGGGAGAAATTGCTGTTTTCATATGTTTGAGAAGTTGCCAGAAGGAGATGGAGATTTACTGTGTTCAACTCCAGGAAGCAGAAATGTGAGCAGTTTAGAAGCGACCTAAAGGGACTTGGCTCTGAGAAGGAAGGAATGTGCTTGTCCCCTAGTTTCAATGAAAAAGTATTTTGAGCTCTCTCCATGCCAGCCACTAGAAATTCTAACATGTAACTCCTGCCCTTGAGATATTAATGATTTCATTGGGTGGCAGTAGAGATGGAAAGAATTGGATAGATGGGGGATCCATTTTAGCAGCAGAGCCAACAAGACCCAGGTAGAGAAAGGGTCAGAGAAATCAGGAGACCTCTTAGGTTTTCTAGCTTTTTCCAGGACAAAGCAAGTGGGGTGGGGCAGTAACTGGGCTGTTAAGCTGCCTGAAACTGCTGGACACCTTAGTGGTGGAGGTGGGCACCCCCTTGCTGTGGAGAGAAGACTTGTGGCTCTAGTGCCCACTTCTAACATGCTCTCACGTGATCTGTTCCAGCTTCTGAAAATGATTTGCTGAATAAACGTCTAAAGCTTGACTATGAAGAAATCACTCCTTGTCTTAAAGAAGTGACTACAGTGTGGGAGAAGATGCTCAGCACTCCAGGAAGATCAAAAATCAAGTTTGACATGGAAAAAATGCATTCAGCTGTTGGGCAAGGTAAGCTTTATTGGGAATCAGGCCAGTTGGCCTCACTCTTCATTGATGATAGGGGAGGAGAAATAGGGAATAAAAGAAAAATGAAGTCCAGTTTTAGTGGCCCTCTCTCTCCTATTTAGCATGTCTGTTTTCAGGTATCTTAGTTAATGGATGTGTGTTTCATCACCTTTCATTATCCCTCTTAATTAAATCAATTAAAATGCTCCCTCAGTCCAGGAAGCGAGAAGAAGGCAGAGGAAAACCCAAGGGCTTCGTTGCCCACAAACTGGGCAATGATCTGATGATCTACTCTGAGTTAAATTGAAACTGAAAAATGAATAGCATGGTGCTTCCTGGGAACTCTCGGGAGACAAGTCAGCACAGACGTCAGATAGGCAGCACAGGGCTGATCACAGCCCACTCGCTTGCCAAGTGGCCTCAGGCTAATGCCTTCCCCTCTGTGAGCCCCAGGGTCCACATGTGTGAGGGGCGGGGGCCGACAGTGACTGTCAGAGGGGCAGCTGGGCTGATGTCCAGGGCACTCTGTGCTGGCCACAGTGCTGAAAGACCCCTGGAAAGGGCAGCACCTGCTAATTAAGTGTGGTCTGAACTATTCTGGCCCAAGTGAGTACAGAACTTGAGACTAAGCATTTGGAAACTTCCAGCAATGTGACAGAGTGAGCCTAATTTTTATAAAATGTGAACTTTCATTTCATCAGTCTTTTTTTCTCATTTCACTTTTCTACTTAATTCATTTTTTAATTTTTTTTAAAGATTTGTTTATTTATGCATACAAGAGCTGGGGTACAGGCGAGAGATGCGGGGGGTAAGAGGATTCGCCAGAGACAGAGTGGGGAAAAGAACAGGCACACTGACTAAAATACACTGCTGAGGGGAACAGCAGGCGAGACGGGAGAGGTCTGCTATGCCATGTGGGTTTCTCTCTGGCCGGCCGGGGATCGAACTCGTGCTGCGGAGGCTGTGGATTGCTTCATAGTGTGGTGCTTAACCCCTTGAGCCACCAGGGAGGCCTGCTACTTATTTCATTTTTACTATATTTTATGAAAGTACTCGTCTTTAGTGGATTGGGAAATTAAAGAAAAAAAAGCTGGCTTTTTACTGTGAATAGCTTGAGAAGGAACATTTTAGAGCTTAACTTGGGTGATTAGTGTTCATTTTAACCAACTGTTCTTTTAAAATATATATTAATGTCTTCTCTCAAGCTTTCTGAGTCTAATTTGATTTTGGTGGTACTGAGTTTTGGGTGATTTAGTCATGAATAACCAGATGTTTAGAGTAAAGATTGCAAATACATTTAAATCGATGGTTTTCTCCTGACTGTACTATTCAGTGGAAGATGTTCCACATACATTATTCATATCCAGGAGAGTAGGTAGAGCAAAGCAGTTTTTTTATAGGCTGTTGGGCTTTATTTAAGCCTTTATCTGAGTTTTGACAGCATCACTTTTAGTAATCATAGTAGTTATTGCTGCTTAGGACTTTCCTCTTTCTGTGGGTGAGTGAGGAAAGTCAGGCTCAGAGCAAGCTGAGTGCTGGACCAGGCCTCAAAGCTGGCTTGCACCTGTGTGGTTGAGCTGCGCCTGGGCGGTGCGGCACTCAGAGACTGGAAACGCGGTGGGTGGTGAGGGCTCAGCCTCCGAATTGACCGGCAGCACCCAGTGTGACCTTTGGGGGGTGTTCTCACCTCCGCCTGGCTGGTGGAGTGAGAGGCGTGGGCCACATAAAGGATCGCTTCTCAAGGCTTGGTGCCCGTGGTACCAAGGCTGACCTTGTACCAGTGAACTCCAGGTAGCTGTTTTGAAAAAAGAGAAAGCAGAGAAGGAACAGGTGGATACTTTTCCTTTTACAGTAAGTAAAGCACATGTGACAGCTGTCCCACATGTTTGAGCTGCTTAGAAGCCTGGTTCCTGCATGTTAGTTTTCATCATGCATTTTACTGGGGTACTGATAGAAAAGCTAAAGGCATCTGAAACCTGTGTAGGGAGATTGGGAAAGATGACTGAATAGCTCACAGCCTGAGATGAGCCAAGGCTGACCCATGCACCATGCACTCCCACCCTGCAATTGCCACATCACTTTCTGAAGAAATTTTGTGTGTCTGACTGTAAAATGGACTTTGTCAATTAATTCAGCTGCTTTCAGCATGTAAGGTATGACTCCAATCAAATGACCACACTTCATCTCATAGATCAAAGTACAAAATGAGATTAAATTGGAATCTACTTTCAGGTGGAGGCCAAGTCACTTTAGAGCCCTTGAAAGAGAGCCCATCCTGGGTGGGTCATGTGGCCTCTCCTCCTGCTGACATAAAAGCCCCTGAGTGACGGGAATGAAAGGGTTTACAAACTTCCCAAGTTAAAATTGGACCAGCGTAGCAGGAAGAGGGTGTCAGCTTGCGAGAGGAATAATTCTGTGTCATTTCAAACGATTCCATTTAGTTTATATTTAAATTATTTCTCTTAAGTTCTCAAAGTCAGACTTCATAGCCAGAGAAGGCTTGAATGGGCTTGAAGAGGTCGTATGAGCAGTTGCTCCAGGCACCTAGTCAGCTTACCTCAGACCCAGGTTTGCCATTTATAGAAACTTATTCTAGAAATTAATCAGTCAGTAATGTAACGCAGCAGGAAGAATGCTTATTGTGACATTGTTTAACAACCAGCAAAACAAAACAGAACCAAAAAGCCCCGGCCATGTGATCATCCCATGTCATAGTCCTTGAAAGTGACACAGTAGGTCTGTGTTTGCTGATGTAAACGTGTTTGAGATAACTTGTGAAATGGAAAAAAAGACTGCATGTGCTCAGTTGTATGTTGCTGTGTGCATATATGTACAAAACACCTATGACAAGTTTCACAGATATTGGGGTGATGGGCCGTGTGACCCTATGTCCACTACATGTCTAGTTGTGAGTGACCTTTCACTTTCTTCTTTATGCCTTTTGTATTTCCAGGTTTGTTTTTTTTAATTAAACAGTGAGCATATATATTACTTTTAAAGTTCATAAAAATAGAAAAGTGTGTATATTTGGGGATGGGGTGGGTTGGACCTCCTGTCACTCCCCCCAGCTTTCTGATCAAGTGCAAGCAAAACAAGCCTGGGAAAGGGTATTCCAGATGATTCTTAGCAAAAATATCGGCTCTGATGTGACTAAGTCTTTGTTTTCAAATCACAAAAATCTAAGCTTTCTCTTGAACAACAGAGTATGTGGTACTGTCCAATGACACAGCCAGTCTTCTTTTCCTCTGAAAAACAAAGTTCTGATAAGATAACATGAATGATTTAGTAATAAAAGGAAATTGGTCATCTCTTAACTTGGGAAAATTTCCCAGCTCGAAAAAAATACATTGTGAAAAGTCCCACAGTAAATCACTTAATATTCTGACTGTTTTTCAGGCCGTATTTACTTTTGATCAGGGCTTGAATATCAGGGGTGTGTGTGTGTAGGCTGAGCAGGAATAGTCAAGAGGGAAAGAAGGAATAGCATCATAAAGTAAGGCAGGTGGCAGGTTGGATTCATTTCCTGTTGCTGATGTAATAAATTGCCACAGAACTGGTGGCTGAAACAACAGGAATCTTGCTGTCATGATTCTGGAAGCCAAGAGCCTGGCACGGCATCTGCAGGCTGTGAGGCTCCACAGCTCCTGGTGGCTGTCAGCGTTCCCTGACTCAGGCCATGTCCAGTGTCTGGTCCACAGCCACACGGCCTCCTCCTCCATCTTCTCACCCATGAGTCTCTTATAAAGGCACTTGTCATTGGATATAGGGCCCACCTGGATAATCCAGCATGATGCTCTCATTTCAAGATCTTAAAATTGTATCTTCAAAACCCTTTTTTCCAAATAAGGTAACATTCATAGGTTCCAGGGATTAAGATGTGGACATATCTCCTGGGAACCAGATTAGGACATGGACTTATTTTTTGGGGGCCACCATTCAACCCCCTCCACGGGGTCATCAGATTAATGCTGAGACAAATATTTAGAGAAGGCATAGGGTGTGGTGACAGTTAAGAGTGCCCTGTAATTCTCCCACAGTATAAGGACAAAAATGACCATACCTTGTGGATTTTCAGGAGATGGCTGAGGGATGCTTTCTGTGTGGATCTGATACTAAGTGAAATAAACTGCCAGCTGGTTCACATCCACAAGTGGTTATTTTATTATTGCCAAGTAGGAGCATCAAATACTTTCTCCACTGCCCATCTGCGCAGCGGTCTGCCTGACAGAGCGACAGGCGGACACCAGGGGACAGCGGCAGCACTTTCCCTGGGCCACCCCCATCCATTGCTGTGGGTTAAGGACCAGTTCTCTGCAGCCTGTTTCCTCATCTTTACTGTGAGGATGGACACAGTATTTTACTCGGCTGCTGTGAGGATGATGTAAAGAGCCCAGAATCTGACAGTGGCTGTGACCTCACAGCAAGAACTGGCTGCTGCTGTTTGCCAGGGCAGAGTCTCAGCGATGACCAGGGGAGGTAGAAAACTGTCGCCAGGAGGCTTTCTGAGGGGCAGGGAAGTGTGGAGAAAGGTCCCATTTTTTCCTCAATGGAAAGAAAGATGAGTCCCCAACTCAGAGGATCCTTATCTCCCAAGAGAACACCTATCAGAGAGGACAGAGATGTGAACTCTGACCCTGCAGGTCTCTCTTACTGACCTAGAACTCATTTTTTTCTAATGAAGTCTGCCCTGAATAACATCATTGACTTTAGAACTTTTCATAGTTTTAGGTATTTTAAATCACTCAATTTTTAAAGATTTATTTATGCATACAAGAATTGGGGTAAAGGCCAGAGGTGTTGGGGGGTGAGAGGATTCACCAGAGACAGAGTGGGGAGCAGAACAGGCAGATCTACTGAAATACACTGCTGAGGGCAGCAGCGGGCGAGTCAGGAGAGGTCTGCTGAGCCATATGGGTTGCTCTCTGGCCAGCCAGGAATCAAACTCGTGCTGCAGAGGCTGCGGATTGCTTCACAGTGTGTTGCTTAACCCCTTGCGCCACCAGGGAGGCCCCAATATTGGATAATCTTCCAAGGAAAGTTTCATTTCATTAAATACTCCCTGTGACATGTTTATGCTGACAGTCCCCTGGCCAGCCTCTGGTTCCTTCCTTCAGCCCACCCTTGAAGAACGATGTCCAATGTTCCAGAATCTCAGTTTTGATCAGACTACCCTCCCCCCAGCTCAAAAACAGTCCATAGTTCCCTAGAACTACCCAATAAAGTGCAGGTTTCTTGCTTCAATTTTGCCTCTAAGGCCCTTCAGCCTGACCCTCACTGCCTCCTCCCCGCATGCGCCCTGAGCCAAGCCGGGAGCCTCATGGTGCCCTTACGCTGACCCGCTTCCCTCCTTTCCCCAAGGGGAGGCGCTGGGGAGGGGGTCCTGTGCTGCCTTGATCTTTTACTTGATGCACCTCACTTCGGTTCTGTCCCTTTCATAGGTCATGTTTTACGCTGTAGATTTCTGTGCTTGGTCTTTTCTCCCCAGAACGCAGAGAGGGGTTCATGTCATTTACTTTATCCTGGACAGTCACCCAGTCTGAGCAGTAAACGTGTGGAAGGTGAAAGGGCAGTGGGAGGGTGTCGGGGGAGTGAGAGAAGATTAGAAGGTGTGCAGGAAGGAAGGGAGGAAGCAAATACACACAATTCTGGGTGCGTGCTTCCTTTCCATTCCTAGTTTGCTAATTCATAATGAAACAAGAATTCAAATCATTGGAATAAAGCTGCTCATTTTCATTACTAAGTTGTATTCTGTGCATTAAGTCTGTTTTCTGCCTCTCCTCCCCCCGCCCTTTGAAGGTGTGCCACGTCATCACCGGGGTGAAATCTGGAAATTCCTCGCCGAGCAATACCACCTTAAACACCAGTTTCCCAGTAAACAGCAGCCAAAAGATACACCATACAAAGAACTCTTAAAACAGCTCACCTCCCAGCAGCACGCGATTCTCATAGACCTGGGTAAGTCTGCAGTGGATTTGGCAGGACAATGGGAGTCTCACTCACTTGAAAAATCGGAATCGACTGTCCAAATTACTTAGTGATCTGCCTGTAGCTTTAGCAATCAAAATTTACTGCTGGGACTTTCAATTAAAACAAGCCCTGCAGTAACCACACGTCTTCCTCAAGTACATAAAAATGTCCTTTCACTGGGCGGCTGCTGAGCACAGAGACGGCCAGTCACGGAGGCTCCGGTCCTGACTGGTTCAGGGCAGTAACTTGTATACTGTTAGGAGGCTTTGTAGTTAACCAATAGAACATCCTGGAAAACATAAATGTGAGAACCAAAGCTTGGTTTAATTACAGGAACCACCCCCTCATCTTTATGGCATAAAAACAGGATTTTATTAGAAAAATTATGCACAGCAGTTTGTGTCTGCGCCCCAGGCAGTTTTATTGGGAAAGTCGTTGGCATCTTGTCTCCTGAAAAGTTTTAAAACCGTAAGATGGAAAAAATGTATTGGATATGTTTGCAGTTGTCGAACCTAGGGAGTTAGGATGTGTTTATGATGTACAAAAGAGCCCTCTGACTTGTCAGTGGCGGCATGTGTGATGGAGGTGAGGTGCCTCCTCTCTGCCTGCTCCCATCACATCTCTGCTAGTGAGAGGGGGGCAGGCCTCCTGAGAACCCTTCTGACCCCCTGCTGCTTTTAGAGCCTGGCCTCTAGAAGGGACCCTGCTTCTGGAACAGCCATCCTGTCAACCGCTGTTGCTGCCACCAGGGGGCTCCCCAGAGCCCACTGGGGCTGCAGGGCCCCTAGTGCCTCAGCCCACAGCAGCCACAAAGGCAGGGAAGACAGTTCCCTGTAATTTGAGGTGTAAGCTGGGTCAGGCAGTATCAGATCTTTCTATCCACCACACAGACTGTCATGGTGAATTTTCACAAATGTTACTCTTTAGATGTGGACTTGAAGTTTGTCTCTGAGAAACTGTCCCTGACGAGCCTCTTCTCCCGCCTTAGGCCTGATGAGGTCCCTCTGCTGAGCCTTTCTGTACCACCTCACCCCCCCCACCTATCATGGTTATTGTTATTACTGTCGTTGTTATTTAAAGCCAGCACTTTGCCAAATGGTGTGAGAAGTTATTTTAACTACTATCTTCAATCCTCAAAACACTTATCAGATAGATACTGTTCTTTCTTTCTTTGGAGTAGAGAAAATTGTGACCCAGAGGGGTTAAGGAGCTTGTTCAAAATAACAACCAGTGGGATTTGGGAGCCCCTGCTCTTTATCTCCCTCTCTTTACCTCCCCTCTCCCACAACTGTCATCCCATGGCACCAGCTTTTCATTGCCTTTCTCCCCTGTAGGGTACAGTCCCCTGTGGGCAGACCAGGGGCTATTTCACCATGTACCCCAGCTCCTAGAACCACACCTAGGGGATGCTCAGTCTTTTCAGATGTTTAATATCAGGCACTTCATTAGCACCCCAATCTTGGGTGAACCTCCTAATATCCCTGGAAGATTGGCCCCTTGTCCTTTTTAAGAATTGGGGAAACTGAGGCACAGTCATGTGTGCTGACCTGGGTCATGCAGTGACCTGATGGGACCTGAACCCTCTGCGGCTCTGCTCTATAGTGAGGCCCCACCTTCCCTGCGGCCCTCTGAGCCAGGGGTCCCACGTGTCCCTATGGCAGTGGTGTCTGGGCAAAGGGTGGTGTGGACCTGCTGTGATTACACCTTGGGGGCAAAGTGTGAGGTCTGGGCTGGGCCCCATTTGGCCCACTGACCCCATGTACAGCAGTTTTGCAAATTGGCAGTAGCTATGTTTGCTAATGTGATGAGTAACAGAAAAAATGACATCATGTTCCTATCATGTGAAATGAAGTGATAAATAAATTTGGAGTAGGAGGTTGAAAGGGAGGGAGTACAGACAGTTTCTCCCCGCCCTCCCCAGATGGGAGGAGGGGAAGGGAATGCGTTTTCTCCTCCTTGATTCAAATGATCTTTTCTCCTGATTTTCCTTCCTAGCCCTCATCCATCCACAGGCAGGTGGGCCCTCTGTCTCCGAGTGTTGCTCAGATGAACCCGTTTTTTGCTGGAGGAGGAGAGATAGGAGGGGGCAGAGCAGCACAGGGGCCTCGGGCCTCTCCCCGGGAGCTGTGTCTGCCATGGGCACGGCTCGGGTGGTCTCTTCCACCCAGGGGCTGCGGGCAGTCTTTCCTCCAGTAGGCACATGGTCTGTGTGAGTCGAGCCACAAGCTTCTCTCCGTAACAGGCAGGCCCAGGCTGCATGCACACCTTCTCTGACCTGCCCAGCTCTCCCCGCTTCCGTACCCACAAAGGCCAGCTATAGCCCCCCTTCCTGACAATGCTGTCCTCTCTCCAGGTCACTTCTTTCCCAGTCAGGTCTGGCCTCCATTTTGGATACCCTCTGAATACTCTCCCAAGGCCTAAAAGAGCCTCTGCTTCCAGCAATACATTTCCCAAGAAGCTTCCATGCACCTCTCCAGTCTTTGTCCAGGGCCATATGGGGATCAGCCTTCTCTCCCCATCTGAGCTGGGAAATCTCTCCCCATTTGGCTCAGAGTTGGCAATGGACTCGGGTGCCTGCTTGCCAGGCTCTGCTCTATCAGATTCAGGGGTGCCTTCATCAGAAGTTCCTCCAAACCTAGCCCATTGCTTCCCCTTTACTTCTCACCAAGAGGTACATTTGCCACATTAGTTGTTTAGTCTCCACTTTGTCTTTATTTAGTCCGCACTGGGATAACTCAAGGGCCAATAAAGGTGTGTAGTGCTGAGCAAAGACAAGTCAGTATTTCAGTTTTTCTTAACAAGTGACATCCACATCTTGGCCAAACAGAATGTTGGTTGGTTGGATATATTTTGGGGGTTTATGGGTTTTTCTTTTCCTACTTCTTGCTTAGCTTTCCGGAATTAGATGTTGGGCTAATCAACTTTTTGTAAGATGTTTTCCTCCAAGGAGTAAGGATAATAGACTTTGTAGTTAGCCAGTATTTTATAGTTTCTGACACACATTTTCTGTCTTTGTCGGATCTCAACTTTACACAACCCTGTACAAAATTTGGCACACGCTGTTCCATTTAGAGGTGAGGAATGAGTTCCAGGGAGCTTGAGTGCCTTGCTCAAGTTACAGGCTCCTCAGTGGCAGAAAGTCCTTAGAATCTAAATCTTAGTCTCAATCATCTCCTTGCTGGGACGCAGTGCTGTTTCTTCCTTGGCCATGCTCGTGCCTTACCAACAGCTCTCCTTCTGCTAGCGAGGTGGAGTAGTGCTCCTTCAGGATTGACTGCACCCAGCCAGGAGGAAACAGCTTCTCTGAGTTAGCGGATGATACTCAGCAAATCATTCTTGAGACCTTAGTTCATGAACCTGCCCCACCCTGTATGCTGTTCCAGCTCCTTCCATTCGTGCAGCCCTTGGGTGATGTGACATTCTTCCTCTCTCCTCCTGGTAGACAACATGCATTTCCCTGCCTGTCACTGGAGCTCCTGCTCTGGTCCCAGCCACACTGAAGGCTGCCAGTGGCACTGAGCAGCTCTCTGGGGCCCCCTCAGACACCATGTCATCCCCTCATGTTCTGCCACCCATGCTGCTCCTCTCTGGCACCCAGTGAGGCACCTCCAGCCATCAGAGCTTCCACTGGTGAGGCTGTCTGACCTCTCCTGTGCTGGGAGGGGTTCTGGCTGAACCCCCACATTGAATACTTATGTTTTATTGGTCTGCGTTTCATGGACACTAACTAGTGGCATGGCTTATATGCCCTGCAGAGGTCTGGTGAAATTTTTGGTGACCAGAGTAGCATTTTTGTTAAAAGATTTATTTATTTATGCATATAAGTACTGGGGTACAGGCCAGAGGTGTGGGGGGTGAGAAGATTCACCAGAGAGTGGGGAACAGAACAGGCAGATTGACTGAAATACACCGCTGAGGGGAGCAGCGGGCGAGTCAGGAGAGGTCTGTTATGCCATGTGGGTAGTTCCCTGGCTGGGGATTGAACTCATGCTGCAGTGGCTGCAGAAAGCTTCATAGGTTGCGTCTTAACCTCTTGCACCACCAGGGAGGCCCCAGAGTAGCATTTTTTTGATGGATGGATTCCCAGCAGGGAAAGCATGTATGCAAAGACATTGGCATCAAGAATCTAGTGTGGGAGCTTCCAACTAAACATATTTTAACCAAAGTTATAAAACCTGGTCTTCAAAAGAAAAGGATCTATAATCTAAGCGCAACAAGAGAGTTTTCTCCTTGCTTTTTTCAAATCTGTAAAAGATGAAGAGCGGAAGAGCACGGATTCAAAATGAGGCATCGACTGAGAGTAGTTAAGATGGCTAAATATAGAGAGCAGAGGAGAGTTTTCCCTTTCCCTTCCCTTTTTTGATAGCTTGCCTCTCTCGGCCTCGACACAGATGTGAGGTTGTAAGCCCCAGGGTCGATAGGGCTGTTGTTAGCAGCAGATGGTGCAGGTGGCCAGCTCCACTTTCTGTTTCATCTTTGCGTTGAAGACACTAAAAAGCAGTGATTGCTGAGGAAAGGAAAGTGCTTAGAATCTGTCATACATCAGTCCTGTTACATAACACACCTGTCTGTCCAGGGAGGGGCTTTGCTTTGTGGAGGTCAGTTCAACGCTTGTGCCCACAGTTATACACATCATTCCAGAGGGTCTGCCACTGTCTCTGGTGTTAATAAATCACTTCATGAAACCACGTTTATGTGATCATTTTAAATAAGTTCTCTAACCTCAGCACGCTATGACTGAATGTGGATGGCACAAGGAGAACTCAACGTGGGCTGTGACTTCGTGTTCTTTCATGGAGTCTGAACTCGTCCTGTGAACTCATCCGAGCCAGTCAGTGGTGTGCTGGCAAATGTTTAACACCCAACTCCCCCAGCCCCTTGAAAGAAGCCTGATGTGAGCATTTGCAGATTGCCGTGGTGTAAATACTCCCACCTTGGCTGATTTTAAGCTACTAACTTGGTGTCACTGATCGCAGAACTGGGCAGAGATGTGCACAGTCGGAGCCAGGAAGAGCCAGTTCCAGCAGTCACTGGATTCAGCCCAATGTTTCCTAAAATAATCTGTGTATAGAGAAGTTCTCCCTTCTTAATACCCTCCTCCCCTGACACACACACCATTCAGTGGCGATTCCACAGATTCTTCTTGAGCACCTGGTGCATTCGAGGAAGCATGCGTGCTGGTAGGAAAGACGGACACCTAACAACTGATGGCCAAATTATTTAAATCGTGAAAAATCATTCAAAGGATATTTTTCCTTTAATCTCATTTCAAATTCTGCTGAGAGCTAAATGGGCTAATTTAAGAATCTCTTAGGATCACGACTCCCCGTCCAGGAAGGAGCCTGGAAGCTTGCTGGGTTGTAGGGTCACCTTTTCCTAGAGCAAGTGAAGAAGCAAAAGCAGGGAGCTTAAAGACCACCATCAGAGGGCTGGTGAGTCAGGGTAATGAATGCCCTGGAGTAGAGGCTGAAGCTGGCAGGGAGGGTGAGGAGGTGAGTGTGCAGAGCTCCAATGGGGGGCTGTTGGTTGCTTTCTAGCAGTGGGGTGACCTGTGCAGGGTGTGTTAGGCAGGATTTACTGGGGGAAAGGCAGAGTAAGCTGGAAAGTGGTAAGAGGAATATTGCCATCCTCTTCCATCAAGTTCAGGTGCACTCACCTGTACTGTCTGCATGCTTTCTCTCAGGCTGAGGAGTAACAGTACGTGAGTGTATCCCCTCCCCTTGCTGAGAACAAATAATTAAGGTGGACAGAGCTCTTCTGGCCTAGATGTACTATCTGCCTTTGCTGATCTGGGTGAGACCAGAACCTCACCTAGTCCCAAGCTGGGCCCTTGCTGCCAGCGACTGGACTCTAGATGTTTCTTAATCAGGCACTTTTCTGCTCCCCGTAACCACACTTTCCCATCAAGCACATTCCAGAAGAAGGTAAGAGAGGTCTGACAGGTATCAGCCACAAAAGCTGCCAGCTTTTTGTGAAAATAATCAGAATGTCAAGTTTTTTATTCTTCCTTCTCTGGAAAGTAATTGTTTTGTATAAAAGAAAACACCAGCTGCTCCTCCTCTGTTACTAAGTGCCGCCCAGGTTGTGCTGTGCAGAAGCATGCGTGTGGCGGGATGTTTGCAGGCAGATGTGTGTGGTGTGGGAAGGCTGACCGGGTGCACCTGAGGCCCGGGGCCCCAGGCAGATGGTCCTGAAAGGGTGGTGGAGAAGGTGTGACTGCCTGCTCCTCTCCATGGAGCGATATTTCAAGGATGAGTTTTCTGTTCTAGACGGATCCTGTGGATAATGGGGTATCAGAGGGAGTTCTGATTTCTTTCACCTGAGCCACCACAGAAAACGTGAATAATTGCTGACTTGGAATTTTGAACTTGGGTCCAACAAGGATCGAGCAGCTTCCGTGTTTACAGAGCCGAGGTGTAGCGTTGGTGACTGACTTCTGACATGATCCTTCTAAAAATCTGTTGCTTTAGCCTGAAGCACACTGGATTGCTGGCCCAATAGGTTTTCATTTTTTAGTAACAACTAGTGTGTCTTATCTTCACAGGGCGGACCTTCCCCACACATCCATACTTCTCTGCCCAGTTGGGAGCTGGACAGCTGTCACTTTACAACATTTTGAAGGCCTACTCGCTTCTGGATCAGGAAGTGGGATATTGCCAAGGCCTCAGCTTTGTAGCAGGCATTTTGCTACTTCATATGGGCGAGGAAGAGGCGTTTCACATGCTCAAGTTTCTGATGTTTGACATGGGACTGCGGAAACAGTATCGGCCGGACATGATTATTTTACAGGTAGGGAGCGTTCCTTGTGTCTTTGACAGAGACCAAAGCTAAAATGTTTACAGTCCAGGCCTAGAGAACTTCTTTAACCTCAGTTAACCTTGTAAAAGCTGTCATTGCTGAGAATTTACTCTGCTCTAGGCATTACATTAATTATTTCTCAGGTACTTATCTCTCCAATCCTCAGGAAGATATATTATCGGCTCGATTTATAGATGGGAAAACTGAGGCTCAGAGAGGTTATATAATTTGCCCAGGTCACACAGCTAGCAAGTGGCCAAGCTAGGATTTAAATCCAGGCCTGTTTGATTGCCGAACACTCCTCTTTACCCTTCATCAAACTATCTTCAGGCAACCAAATTCCTACCTCCCGTTGTATTCACTGCTTCATCTGCCAGGGGTTCCCACCTGCACCTGCTTCTTCTTCAGCCCTTGTCCTTTAGGGTTCGGCTCAAATACCACATCCCAGGAGAAGCTCTTTCTGGCCACCTTGATGTCATGTGTCCCCATGTGTGCTCCCAACTGTGTTACACATCTCATTTGCATAACACACTAATGGCCTGGAATTATCATGTTCTTATACGTCTGACTTTCCTTAGCACATCTCAGGGGCGGGGAGGAGCTGCGTCCCTAGTTCCTAGAACAGTGCTTGAGGTGAAGTAGACGCCTGTCAGCATTTGTTGGGTGAACAGATGTCAGGTCATATCATAAGAAAACCAAGCACAGCAATGCCTACCAAGTGCTGCTTGGCAGGGAGGTGGAAGAGCTCTGAATCCTGCTTCAGGAATATTCCTAGATGGTGGAGCACATGTTTATGCATTTACCACCAAGATGCTGTGATTTCAGAGCCTTAGAGGAATACTTTCCACATACGCCATCAGGTTCTCCATTTTCTCCATTTGTTAGCTTTAGTTTAGTCTTAGCTGCCATCCAAGACGGAAACTTTTGAATTTTGTATGGGCTGGTGATCTTGGTGATGACAGTCTTTTTGATACAGAAAAGCTTCAGTTGGTGTTGGAGGGAACTATGTCATCTGGCCCTAGGACACGTTATTCTCCTATTAAGTAATTTGGCAAGTCCAGAGGAAATTTATTAGGTGAACAGATATAGTAGCATCCTTCTGCAGAATCCTGCTATGCCCTAACCCATTCTTAGCAGAGAAGTTGGCTTTATATTTCTAATTCTCCTGGGTTTGAGTTTTGCTAAGATTGTGTATTAGTAAGTGAATTCATGACAAGTTTCCATGAGACATTTAGATTCTCTTAGCCAAGGAGCACAGGGGCCAATAAAAAGGAAGTGATTGGGGCCCCAGCATCGGTATGCTAGGCCCACACCTAGCTGGCTGCTCCTTCCAGCAGGTCCCTAGGAAGCCCTTGTTGGGTAGATAAGTAGCTGATCACTGGATACCATACACCATGCAGAAGGTTTAAGGTTCTGATACCTCTTCCCCTGCCCTGTGAGTGGGATAGGTCACTAATGCATATAGTGGTTGTCTAATTCTGACACGGATGCACCTGTGTCCCTGCAGATCCAGATGTACCAACTCTCACGGCTACTTCACGACTACCACAGAGACCTCTACAACCACCTGGAGGAGCACGAGATCGGCCCCAGCCTCTACGCCGCCCCCTGGTTTCTCACTGTGTTTGCCTCTCAGTTCCCCCTGGGGTTCGTGGCCAGAGTCTTTGGTAAGCATATGCACAGAACCAGTGTGGTCACGTTAGAGGAGAAACATTTCTTGTTACTCCAAGGCGATTCTTCTTTTTGTACCTGTATCTTTCGCACCATTACCTGCTAAGCTTAGTCAGGGTTGGGTGTTGTGTGACTGTCAATTCCTTGAGGTCTGATAATCACTGGACCTGCTTAGATGCCTTCAGCTTGTGCGATTTAAATCTTTAGCTCAGATTGCCTCACCACCTGGTCTCCCAAGAGCAGACATCTGTAAGCCTTGGCTGGGGCACCCGTGGCTGCTATGTTTCTCTTGAGTCATCATCCTCAATGCAGGCTCTGGCCTGTGCCGCTGTAAGCCGTGGCCTTTCAGCTACCAGCGGGCGACTTCTGGATTCCCTTTGTATCTCCTCCTCCACCTGCTCCTCTCCCTTTCTGTTCTCTGTTGCCAGGCTTGGTGTCGCCTCTGCGGGTGACAGCACCCCATCCCCACCTACCCCCAACTCCTCTCCCCAGATGTCACCGCCACCCCCACCCCTGTGCCCCCACGGCTCATATCGCTGGCTCTTTTCTATTCGAGGGGACGGTCTCTATCTCAGTTGTATAGGTGTTCAGTGCAGAGTCTCCAGGCCCCCGGGGGCGGAACGGGGGCAGCATCTCCTGGATGCCGGGAGTGAGCACACCTGGGCTCTGTCAGCTCGGTATCATTTTCCCTACTTCAAAATGAAAAGACAGTTTGAACAGTTCAGGTTCTTTATTGTATTTTTTAAAACATTTATTTATGCATACAAGAACTGGGGTACAGGCCAGAGGTGTGGGGGGTGAGAGCTTTCGCCAGAGACAGAGTGGGGAACAGAACAGGCGGGTTGACTGAAATACACTGCTGAGGGGAGCAGCAGGTGAGACAGGAGAGGTCTGCTGCGCCATGTGGGTAACTCCCTGGCTGGGGATTGAACTCGTGCCGCAATGGCTGGCAATAGCTTGACGGCACTGAGACTTTAATAACCCCTATGCCACCAGGGAGGCCCTAAAATACAATTATTTAAATAAAACGGATAATAAAAACTGGTTAAACAAATCATTAGTGAGATTTCATGAAGGTTTTATACCATAAATTAAAAAAAAAATAACTGCCAAAATTAAAAGAATAACTAGAATACTCAACATTGTGTGCTTAATTTACTGACGAAAGAGTCACAGAAACAATATCTCTAGCTTTATACTTTAGCCTATGTTTTTTACTTACTTTGGAAATTAAAAGATGATCATTAACCTGCCTTATATTTTCTCCTGATTGTTTAGCATATTTTTCAAACTGGGTAACGGAGTGGCATGGATTGAAAGGGAAAGGATGGAGTGCAGTTTGTGATTTGAAAGCAGCTCAAACATCACATCACTTCACACCCTGAGAGAAAATTTTTACAAAGGGATTTGTGCAGGAGGGGCTGAGTCATTACTGCCTCACCCCTACCCCAACCTCACCCCTACCCCAAGTCCACAGGACCTGGAGTGACTGCCTGCAGATAATAGGTCTGGAGCTCTAAGACTCTAAAAGTTCTAGGAAAAAGTCTTCCCTTAGGCGGCCTCAGTGGCTAAGAGGCATGAACAAGCTGCTTTGGCCCTTCTGTTGCAGAATACTTGGAACTCCGTGAAGTTCATTTTAATGACTTCATAAATTAAGAGCTAAAGCCAGTAAAAGCAGGCTATTTTTCTCTATTGTGTAGTCTGTGGTGGGTCGTGGAGTGTCTTCTGCATTATGCATGAAGATGCCAGGGTCTGTGTAATTCCAGGATCCCGTGAACCCCGGCTGTACTAAGAGGGTTCATGCCCAGCCGAGTGAGGGTTTAGGTCTCTTCAGATTATAGGAAGGAAGTGGGAATACAAGACAGCCACTCATATTGTGAAAACTGCTGGGGTTTTTTTGTACAACCCATTTCATTAAAACCATCTTAATAGAATATTTCATATAAAAGATATATTTTGAAAAACCATTTCTGTATTTCCCATTGGTGACTTGAACCGTGCTCCATGATATGGTAGGTAGCTTAGTTTCAAATCTAAAACCTGCCCTTCATACACTGGAGTCTTTTCTGGCCTGAAGCCCATTTCATTATAAGCCTTTAGGGCTGGATAAGCCCTGTAAACAAATGGACCTTTGTTAACTATTCACCATTTTATATGTAAGTAAAGGATTCTTAGCTCTCAGTCAGCATAGCTCATATATTAATTCACAAGCTTACTTGAATTAAGCACAATGTCATTGATAGGTTCTTGGAAACTGTGACTTTAAGCAAAACAACATATAATGAAGGCAGGTCCTCCAGTAACTTCATCTCATTTCGTGGAGGCCAGGATTTTTTTTTTTTTCTCACCAACATTGTAACAGAATGACATGGAATGAAATGACATCTTATCAATAAAATATTTACTATTTTATTTTTTTAAAAAAAGGTTTACTGGGGTATAGGCCAGAACTGGGGTACAGGCCAGAGGTGCAGGGCATGAGAGGATTCACCAGAGACAGAATGGGGAGCAGAATAGGCTGATCTACTGAAATACACTGCTGAGAGGAGCAGTGGGCGAGTCAGGAGAGGTTTTCTGTGCCATGTGAGTAGCTCCCTGGCCGGGGAATCAAACTCGTGCTGCAATGGCTGCAGCTAGCTTCACAGTGCTGTGCTTAACCCCTTGTGCCATCAGAGAGGCCCCCAATATTTACTATGTTAAATTGGAATGTGCCATGTATGCTCCTTGGGACGGCAGCCAGTTATGGACATACCTTTACCCTCATGTAGCTATCATGCTTTTCTGAATGTCCGTGATTCTGTCTGGGGGTCGCATAGCGTGAAGAAGCCTCCTCCTATCCAGTTGGGTATATGGAGGACTCCTGGGGGAGATGCTTGCTTTGCTCATCTTCTGATCTTATCTTTGGGGGAAAAATCTGCACAACAGGACCTTGCTTGCTCCTCACGAGGAGGCTGCGCTGTTAGGCTCCTGATGTTCCTGTAGGATGCGCTGCCAGGCAGATGAGAGAGCAGGTAGAGTGTCAAAACCAGAGGTTTGGCAAAAATCACAGAAGTCACTTGTAATACAGAGAAGGAGTCAGAGAGGCTTTAGGATGAAAATAGACTGAAAAACCAAGATTTTTATGTGGCCAGGAAAAATGGCTCCTCAGATGACATGACGCAGTGGCCATGAAGTGAATTTTTGCAAAAGCTGTTGGTGCTGTTCTGCTGCAGGGATGTTCCCCGCCTCCACTTCCCTCCTGTCCATTCCCAGTAGGAATGTGGGGTATCACCTGGAAGATTACCACCTTCCAGAGAAAGTGAAAGGATTGCACTTGACAATGACAACGGGGGCTGGGAAAATAGGTGTTCTCTTCCTGGCTGTGTATTTTGCATTTATCATTTCCCCCCATAGGAAAATTGCACTTTTATATCATGGGGAGTTTCAAATAGAGTTCCAGTACCTGTGAACACAATAACAGGGCTGCTGAAGTGTCTTCAAAGGAAAGGAGTTATTTGTGGTGTTCTCAGCAAATAATTTGCAAAGTGGTGGAGTCAGCTGAATGTAAGGTTCCTTCTACTTCCTGCCTCATAAAACCCTATGCCTGTTTCTAGGTGACTTGAAAAAGGGGAGAAGAAAGAAAGGGATGAGGCAGAAAGGAAGCTTGGTCACCGTGCTGGGAGCCTGGTGCTGCAGTGCTGCTGGGGGGCAGGGGGTGATGGGGGGTCCAGCAGGGCACTTACGTGTGCAGTGATTTCGGAGTGCAGGGAAATTTACTTTTCCAAGAAGATTATTGGTTTTGGTTTTCGTGTGTTTTATTTCCAGAATGTAAATGTGAAAGGATTGGACAGTGGGGCAAAAAGGAAACTACTTGGGTTGGGACAGTGGGATGATTGGTACCATTTTTCTTAACTATTATTAAAAACATGTTTAAATTTTTAATTTTCTAAAGAGGAAAAAAGGTACTAATCATTTAAAGGATATAAATGTTGCCCTCAAGTGTAGTCATATAAATTTAGAAGTTCCTCCAAGCACAGCTTTGAGGGGTCCTTCCTTCACCCCTTCAGACAGAGTCCATCATTGTGCACCCAGATGAACTCCTTGCTTGAGTGGGGTCCTTCTCTTCTTCCTCCATCCCCCTTCCTGTCACCAGGGAAGCTTCTGGGGCTGAGCTCTCCCAGCCTCAGTAATGCAGAAAGCCTGTGCACGAGGGGCTTCCTGGTGGAGGAGGGAAGGCTGGGGCTCTGCTCTGGGTAAAGTCCCAGGGGTAGAAATCCCTTGGGGTTGAGAACCTGGGAGAAAGCCCTTGGTGAATCTGCCTGCGCTTTGCCCCACAGAGCCAGGGCTCTGCCCTCACACACTCTTCGGGCTCCTGCATGTGATGGGGCTCCCTCCACCTCTGCATTTACACCTTGCTTTCCTTCTGCTCAGTGTTGTTATTCCCTGTCTTCTTACTCTCCAGTTTTCTATTGGTTCTTCGAGACTGGTTTCAGCAGTCACATTGCCTTAGACTTTTTTCTTCTCTTATCTCTGCCATTCTTCATGCTTTAGTCATAGCTTAGTGCCCAGCACGGTGCCTGGTATTTATCAGCTATTTGGTGAATGTTTGCTATCTCAGAGCAGCTTCTGAGCAGATAAGAATGCTCTTGAGGTGTTGAGAATAGCATTAGCAAAGAGCGTTTCTTTTTTATTGTACTAACTATAACCAGACTTCATGAAATAATTTCCAGGGTTCTATTTTGTTGTTTTTTTTTTTTTTTTTAATAGAGGCATGTTTTATTTATTTATTTGTTTGTTTGTTTTTGTTTATACAAGCACTGGGTACAGTCAGAAGCGCGGGAGGGTGAGAGAATTCACCAGAGCCAGAGCGGGGAGCAGAGCAGGCAGAAGGACCGAAGTACACTGCTGAGGGGAGCAGCGGGCGGCAGGAGAGGTCTGCGCGCCATGTGGGACCCTCCTCCGGTGGCCGGGAGCAGCCAGGGATCGAACCTGCGCCCCAGAGGCCGCGGGCAGCTTCTCAACCCAGCGCTCAACCGCTGCGCCACCGGGGAGGCCCTATTTTGTTTTTTTTTTTTTTTAAACATACAAAAAAAGTTAAAAACACAACACCTCTCCAAGCTTCCTCCCCCCCCCCCATACAGTCTAGAAAAGTCTGAATTAGAGTGATAGGAAATAGATGTATAATTCCTAAAGGAATAAAACTTGGAAGACCTGTTACTAAAGTGACTGCTGATGTGGAGTGCATGTTTGATGATGCTCATGAAGGTTCCTCAGTAATTATTTAATTGACTTGGAGGCAGTTCTATATCTAATTTTAAGATACGTATTCCTCAGAGACTAAAGGTAGTGAGCTCTAGCTTGTCAGTGGGTTCTAAGATCCCTGCACAAAGTATCTTTATATCTATTCTGATAGGTGCCACTAATTTTTGTTCTGCTGTGAGTATTCACCTACTGAAAGGAAGTCTTACAGAAATTTGAAATATATTTTGTTTTTGGAGATTGTCATTTTTGCTTAAAAATACATCTTAATTTTAGTGCTATTTTTGATGTTTTTATTTTCTGTAGTGGTGAATAGTTTGGATAGACTGTATTTTATAAAGCCAGACCTTGGCATAGCCCTGCCTGCATACATACAATGCTTCCCCTAAGGAACACAAATTTCAGAGATACAGTCAGTTCTCTCATTTGTCTTCCCGGCCTGTACAGCTAGACCGAAGGAGGAGGTGGCCTCCCTCCTTCCCAGCTTTCTGGGGCCACCCTGCTCCTGAGCAGTTATGGTGTTTATGCAGACAGCGAGGACCCAGAGCTCTCAGGGTGGCCTGATCCCTGCAGCCTAGTGCTGCTCCCCACTTGGCACCTGGCCAGGTTAAGGCCTTCGTGAGGGTCATGAGCACCTGTGGTACCTGGGTCTGGCCAGGCACCTTTCCCATGTGCCCAGCAGCAACCAACCCCTGCTCTCCTGTTTCTAAGTGGCATTTGCATGTCATTTGCACGAAACCACCCAGAGAGGCACAGTCTGGGGAGTCTTCCTCTCACTGCTTTTGTCTTCCGTGACCTGATGAAATTTACAACTTCGTCTTTTCCATTATCCTGCTGCTAAAAAGAAGAGAGCAAGCAAGGAAATTTTGCCTCTAATTAGATTCATATTCTCATTTTTAAAATCGTATTTTTTCTTAAGCTGTTATTTCAGTTGCCTGAATTTAGCCACCCAACTCCTGTGACTGTGCCCCCAGGCATTTGATTCTCTTTCTCAAGTGACTTCAGCTCTGTGATGAGGGTGTAGCCAAGGCTGGGTTGGCTGCTTCCCCTGGTATTTCAGGCACTTGCCCTCCTTACTGTGTACAATCAGTGTATGGATCATTAACATTTGCCAATCTAAAAAAAAAAATATCAAGAACTAGGAAATAACTCTGATGAGGGCTTTTGATTCCTTAGCGGTAACAGTGATTTTTACTCCATCATTATGCTAAAATTCAGTATGCTCATATTGAATACTGTACTTTTGCAATTGTGTAGACTTTTTCCAATCTTTAGACAATTTGTCATTCAACCTCTTTTCCAGAGGAAACAGGCATTATTTTCACTTACTCTACCTTAGTTTCGGATGCCATATAGAACTCTTAATTGTACTCATTTAAACATGGTTTAGTTATAACTCCTTTCCTAAATCCAGAGCATGCCTGATTAAAACAACTAATAAAATTTTTCTTTTTCTCAATTTCACTTTTGAGCCTGTTTGAATTGAATAAGTTTCTTGAGCAATAAAAAGATTTATCTGAATCTGACAAAAATCTTGTGGTTTTTTTTCCTTTCAGTATTCGCAATATTGTCTTAACAACCCAAAATATCAGGCTTTTGAAAAGGAAATAAAGTTTGCCATTTGGGACTGTGTTTCCCACCACCCTGCCCAATGATGTGTGGAAAAGGAAGTGGGGTAGGATTTCATCAGAAACTGGTTTGGTTTTAACTTTCTGCTTTTCTGTGTTTTCCCAGATATGATCTTTCTTCAGGGATCAGAGGTCATATTTAAAGTGGCTTTAAGTCTGTTGGGAAGCCATAAGCCCTTGATTCTGCAACATGAAAACCTAGAAACTATAGTTGACTTTATAAAAAGCACACTACCCAACCTGGGCCTGGTGCAGATGGAAAAGACCATCAGTCAGGTATGGTTTAGCTGGAATTTTCCAAAAGCCAAAGTAACCCTGGATGTGTAGACACTTTTTTTTTTTTATTGAGCAGGACCTATTTCCTGCTGGCCTGCAGGAGGCACATGGCAAATAAATGTGTTCCATTGTGAAATGCATGTCTGAGGTCTGAGCGTGTGCGTGTGTGAGTGTAGTGGTGAGATGCCGTGAGGTAACACTGCAGTGACCTTCCGCCGTGCTGGCTGGCACAGACTCCCAGAAGTTTATTGTAATGAAGAGCTCCGCCCCAAGTTTGTGTTCTGAAAGATACACATTTTTTTTGGTGTAGGCTTTTGGAAAATGAGTGTTTTGATTTTTTATGCTGAATGGCATTAAGTGGAGTTTTCTAAAAGCAATTCTTTGCTTAGAAAAATGGTGATAGAGGGGTCCTATCAATATTCTTCAAGTTGGTCCCATGAATTCTTTTTAAAATAGAATTTAGGTGGTTTTAGCACCTCTGGCTTCTGTGTACAGTTGGCCCATTACTCTGAAATGTTCAGGGCTATTGGGTGAATTGAGCCAGGAATTAAAACGAGACCAGTTAAATGATCTGGCTTAGGGGTGGGAGCAGATTTTGATTCCGTATAAGGAAGAATCGTCCAGGAGTGATTGCTCACTCTGAAGGACTGAGCTGCTTAGCACAGGGTGAGGTCACTCCTGGAAGTGCTAGAGGCTGGGTAGCTAAGAATGGCTGCAAGAGATTTCTGCATCAGACACTGCAGAGTCAGCAGTCAGACCTCCAGTATTACCTCACCTGCTCCAAATATAATGATAACAGAGAGCAGTTAACGAACTAGCAAAATAATGAAATAGTTTTTTTAAGGTACAAATCCTTATTGTGAGGATTTTTGACCCTCCAAGAGGACTCAGGTGGATTGCACCGAGATGCAGCATTTGTGATTTAATTTGCTACTCCACCTTAGGTGTTGAGCCATAGAACTAGAAGCAAATCTGGTCTGGAAAGAGAGAGGGTTTCATCCTGAGTTTTATTTGCATCCTGCACATTTTAAGTGCCTGTATGAAAGCGTGCTCTGTGCACTTGCTTCTGTAGCTAATTGATAGGCTGTGCATCTCTGTATTTTACTTCCCTGGCACCATCCTCCCATGTGAATAGCTTTGGCTTGTTGAGTCCCTCCTTCTTGCCAGGCTCTGTGGGAATCTATATATATCCGTGATCTCATTTCATCATGACCGCTTTCCCGAGAGGATAGGTGCTTTTAATCCACGAGGAACCAGGAGCTAAAAGTCGTTAACTGTCCTGCAGTGTCCCTGCTGCAATGTGGGAGTTCTTTCGGTGGGGTTTCCAGCGCTGTCCTTTCGCTGCAGGAGCGGCTATGCAATACCACCAAGTGCCTCTGGGGGTCATTTCATCACAGTTTTCCATATTTTACCTGGATAGCAATACTGAATTCTCTGTCCTTTTGGCTCTTAATTTCTGGTATCTATACATACTCATTACCTCCTTAGAGCTCTCATCACATTCATCTACATTCTGTGACTGCTGGGGCAAACAGCAAACAGCAGCTGTAGTTACCTAAACCGGTCTGTGCCCACACGTGCCACGAGGTGCGGTGCAATCCCTCTGCAGCCTTAGAGAACCCCTGGGCACAGATCCTGGAGATCCACAGAGCAGCAGTGACTGATGCCTTCCTGCAATTGACCGGGTGTGGATCGTGGGGTCTGAGTGGCCCTCTGTGACAGCCATCCCTGTATTGATAGCCTCCGCTTGAACAGCTAGGTCATAGCCTGCATCCCTGACAGAAAGTAGCTCAGAGTGCTGGCTCTAGGTGGCCAGACTGGGAGCAGCCACACAGTCCAGGGCAGAAGGACAAGGGTCTCTGACACCTTAGTGTGACTTAGCTGTCTATTGAATATTAGCTATAAATTTCCTTTGACCCAAGGAGAGGGAACCCTGCATGGAGAAAAGGTGGTCGGGGTTCTGTTCCTGCCACAGTGCAGGCAAGGGAGAGCAGGACTGAAGGAAGGGACTTTGGGAGACAAACAGCCTGTTTGCCACAGCCTTTGGGCTCTTAGTGAGAGTGTGGCCCCGGCCCTAGCCGCCCACCTAGGAGGGCATTAGAAAGTAGCACTGTTAGAAAAGCAGGAGCTGGACCCCCATCCCAGATGTGCTGAGTCAGAACCTGCATTTTTACCAAGATCCCCAGGGGCTTCACACACATGTGAACACTTGAAGAGTTCCCCGTGGGCCACTTTGTTATAAACACACTGGACAACTCCCTGTTCCAGTTGGGCTTGTAAGACAGAAACTAGAATCTTAACAAGGTTTTTTTGTCCGGAGATGCCCCTAAAGTCACAGTGGGAGGAGCTCTCGCTGCTTGGGCAGTTTGCGCTGTTAAGGACGGGTGGTTTTTTATTTATTTATTTATTTTTTTAAAGGCCAGTCAGTGCTGTTGGAGAGGAGTATTTTACCACGTCGTTGTTTAGAATTGCTCGCATGTGGTGATAATAAAAAGCAGACCTACTTTCAGCTGCGTTTATTATTGCTTTTAAATTCACTGCAGACACTGCGCCCCCTTATTGTCAATCCCTAGGGCACACTCTCCACTCTCCAGCCCTTCGTATGCCACTGAGACCAACAGAGTGGGGTCAGGTTGGAGGCTGGGCAGGTAGAAAGTTTGTGGCTAGTTGTGCAGACCTCAGAGTTAGTGGCTTCACTGTTCAGTGTCCACAGACTGCAGAGACACTAAGATTCCCTGTAGCCAAGAACGTGGACAACCCACTGAGGGAGGAGGTCCTTCCATAAACAAATATCTGGGAAAATATTTAGCTTCATGCATAATTTAAATAACATATAATGCTTTACCTACTAGATTAACAAAATGAAAATTTTTAATGCCAGTACCCAGTGTCAAGGATATACTGTGTCTGGCACGTTGGTATGTTGCTGACGGCATTGCACGTTGATTATTCCCATTTGGGAAGCAACTTGGCAATTTGTATCACAAGCCAGTAAAATATTCATACCCCTTGATTTAGTAATCCCATTTCTTGGAATGTATCCTTAGGAAATAATCCAAAATTTGGGAAAAACCATATGTTCCAGGATGTTTACAGTTGTCATTTATAACAAAAATTTGCATGTAACAAGATACCCAACACTTAATGAATGTATTAACCTGGTTATATGTCCACTTGGTAGAATTCCATGAAGCCACTTAGGGTTACAGTTATGAAGAATATATAGCAATTTGAAAAAGCGTTGCTTGAGGACCAGCCACATACCGCCATGGTTTGGGATAAATTCTGGGGCATAACTGCAAAATCAGGGCCTGTAAGTGTTTTGGCATCAGGAGGTAGTGATGCAATTAAGCTGAGATAGTTATGCTCCAGGATGGCCCCTTGGGATTAATGGGGGCCGGGAAAAAGCATGTGCAGCTTTGGGTACAGCTGAGAGCCGTTAACCTTAGCGCAGATCATCAATCTGTGTAAAAGGCCAGAGGTTTTATTCGCAGGTTTTCCAGGTTAGGAGCGCTTTTAGAAATAAATCTTTGTGGGAGGAAAAAAAAGTTAACTCTGTGTGTGACCTTTATTCTGCACCTCATTTATCATTACACATGCATTCTGCAGCAATCCCGGGTTTAATGTGTGTGGGTTTTACTCTGAGCTTTTCTGAAGGTCCATGATGTGGCATCCTTTGTGATTTTGCTGAAGCACAAGGTTGAATGTGACAGTTTCCTGACAAGGGTGTGGAAGCAGATCCCTTAGCTGCATGGAAACTTCCTGGAGTTGTCTCGTGTAGTCTCAGCTCTGCTGGGAGGTAAATGTAATCCCCCTTGTTAGAGACCAGGTACTGAGGCCGAGAGAGGTCAGGCATCTTGTTCAAGGTCATGCAGCGAGTCTGCAGCGGAGGCTGATTGGAGCGTAGGCTCAAAGCCTCGGAGTCCGTTTTCTTAACTGTAAAATGGAGGTATCGATCCCTGCTGACCTCCAGTCACTCTGAGGGCCACACAGTATTAGATCAATACAGTAAACTGCTTACCCACACTCAACAGTACAGTGGGCATTCGTTTTCAGACAGAGAATGACTGTGTGCCTAATTACTGTTACGCATTGAATTGAAAACCAGAAAGCTGAAAAATTAATCATAGGGAAGAGAAAATAAGATTGTTGAGAATGGTGAGAAAGTAAACATGGTTTTTGAAAACTGTTTTCAGGGAAGATGGGACTCACCCATTTGTGAGCGCTAATAGGGTACCATCAGGGGAAATGAGTTTTTCATTGATTTTAAAAACTTTGGAGTTTTTTAAGGAAATAGCAATGACAAGTCAGTTTCTGCTCTTGTGAAGTCTAGCTTCATTTTCTAAATGTTCTGACCATACTGGCTTTCTTTATGTAGGAACTGAATCCCTCACCCACCCTCCCCGCCAGCAAGATCTGTGTTGGGGTGTCACTCTGCAGAGAGCCACAGTCGCATGAGCTTGTGCCAGAAACAAAGGCAGAGAAGCTGTGGGTGGCACAGCCTCTGCCTTGTGACCCCTTCCCAGGCCTGCGTCCGCCAGGCTCACCCACTGAGAGAAAGTACAGCAAGAACAGCTCCGTCACTCATTCGGGCCAGGTTGTTTTTCACACGGGTGGCTTTTTTCATCACTATTATACTATTATAGGAAGGAAGGCAACCCAGGCATTGTTTCATATTCACTCATCTGTGTGGGTGACATTTGGGCTTTTGGCTCATTTCTGCATATCTTGTGTGCAAAGGAGGGATTTTTAGTAAACAGTTCCATTACTTAGCTGTTCTTGTAACTCTCAAAACCCAACTGAACTATAATTAAACTTTGACTCGGTGACTGGGCGAATAGGGCTCTGAGTCTTTTGTTTGGTTTTTTTCTCCCTTTGACCCATAGTTGGTGTATCTAACCTAATAGAATTTTCAGAGAAAAAGGAAATAAGTACTAAAATAGGAACCAAAAATAAATTTTTATAAACCTTTAAAAAAATAAAAGTATGCCTGTTGGAAAATGAGTATGAGAGACCCACACTTATTTTAGTCTTATTTCTAAGTGCCTCTTCTGTCCTTTCATCCCAGATAAAACTACTACCATCTCAGTATAAAGTCCTGCCTTATTTCTCACTAATAATCCCAGCCACCAAGTGTGTGCTTAGTGACTGCTCGTTGACATAGTTGTGTGTGAGTTTGTGCGTGTGTGTGTGCGTGAGATTTTTCTCATTTTCATTGCCTGATGACTGCCCTCTATCTGACAGGTGTTTGAGATGGACATCTCTAAACAGTTACAGGCTTATGAAGTTGAGTACCATGTGCTTCAAGAAGAACTTATCGATTCCTCTCCTCTCAGTGACAACCAAAGAATGGAGAAATTAGAGAAAACCAACAGCAGCTTACGCAAACAGAACCTTGACCTCCTTGAACAACTGCAGGTAAAGCCTGTTTACAAAGCAGCTTCCTGGACCCCGGGTGCAGGGTAGTTCATTAACTCACCAAAGGCTCCAGCAGACTGGGTTTTCCCATGACCACAGGACCTTTCTCTTCCTGCTTTGTTTATAGTTAGGATCAAAGGTACCCCAGGAGAATTGATCCTTTTTATTTGGGAGCAGACAGATTACCCTTTGCTGAGGTCAGACCGTCCTTCAAGTTTTCTGAGAAGCTGATTCTGCACTTAGCCTTCTAGGGAGAAAGGCCCAGGGATGAACTTGGGTTCAGGATGCTGAGGCAGTGTCAGCTGAATGCCAGCAATTGTGCTTTGAGTAGCGATGAGAGAATCAAAGACTTTTAGCTCCCATGAAGGAACACACGAGGTCCACAAAGGGAGATTCAGAGGGAAAAGTGAAGCAGAAATCTACCTAAGGAAATGAACCAGAGCTTACAATAATCATTTGGAGTCCTTGGTGTCAGTGCATAGGGTTGATTAGTGAAGGATACAGCTCTCCTTTCTAGAAGCTTCCGTTTTAACATGGTTAAATGTAGATGAGGACATATAGTAGAAAGGCAGCCCCTGACACATGTCAGAGCTTGAGATGGGGCCAGTTCCGTGGAGCAGTCCTGAGACCTGGACCTTGTCAGACCCAGCACTGGCCCCTTCCATCTTGTCACCCTGGGTAGACTGAGACTACTCAGTAGGATGCCCTCATCAGTGAGACCAGGACAAGAACAAAGTAACCATATAATCGGCTTCATAAATGGGTGGTAATGTCAGTGTTAAATTGTTTGGGGTGTTAAAAAATAATATTTTTAAATGCTGTGGAAGAAAACATGTATTTGCTCCTGAAATATGTGTTTTCTGTCATTCCTGGGCTAGCCATAGAGTAAGTTTTCTGTCCTGATCTAAATCTGCTTTCTTGATAGAAAGTTGCAGCTTTGCAGACACAAGCTTAGCAGCGAGAAAGGCCAACATTTGAAAGCCTAGTAAATCAACCCTTGTCTAAAATGCATTCCTCCCAGCGGTGATTTATCCCAGCAGACTGAGAAGATATTTTCTAAAAGAGGAACAAATACAAAATGCTTTCCCTACCCAGTCCTAACTACCAGCCATGGTGGGAAATTTAGCTTCTTTCCTTCCCCAAGATTGAGATGCTCTAACTGAAAACGTGCCTGGGTACAATTTCCCCAGGACGTCCCAGCTGTGATCTAAAGGCAAGACTCCAGGGCAAAAGAGCCTTTTCTGGCCTGTAAGAGTATCCAGTGTTGGTGGTAATTTTAAATGGCTTCCAAACAACCAGTAGGTTCCTGAAATATCACCTAATGGAGACATTTCTGACAGCTCAGATTAGCATTTGAAGCATGTGGCTCGTTAAGATAAGCAGTACACAGGTAAAAGGTTCATTTTATTGGGCTAATGCCCATGTGGTTTTTTTGGTGATGAAGGAAGGAGAATAATTTTACGTGGCAGTTGTGCTCAGAAATCTACCTTCCTCGAAAAAAGGTGCATCTGACCGTGACAGGTATTTACAGTTGTTCTCGTAGGAGTGGTCTTGCTTTTGCCCACATGGCTCTGAACTTCCAGAGGTGACCTTTGGGACAGCAGCCTGTGCCAGTCCACAAGTATAGACGTGTCCTTGCTGTGCCGGGTGCCAGGGGCTGCTAAGACGCGTAAGGCACTGCTGCTCTCCAAGACTTGGAATGGGGGGGGGTGGATTTGTGGGTGCTTACCTATTGTTTCCTCATTATTCCCTGTGAAAAAGAAAGGGATAAATGGATCAATCATAAGGATTTGCCATTGATCCAAGGATATATAGGTATTCAATATAACATACATCTAATTTTCTGACGTAAATCTCTGTTTTTGCCAAAATACCAAAATCAATTTGTTTTCTACTTTTGTTCAGATCTTTGTTACACATAGCAAAGTCCCATGTATTTTCCTGTTAAACACTTAAGGACGTTGTATTAAAAGAAAAGTCCAGCAGCTGGAGACCAAAGGGTAGAGCCCGTTTGGAGTGGCAGCATAGTAAGGCCATGGTTAGAGCTCCCGCACGCTGTGCAGTGATAACGGAGGTTCCTTTGTCACGGTAATCCCGAGATTGTTGAGGGCCCACACTGAACTGGGTGCCAGGGAGGCCAGCCCCACGTGTGGGGTGCAATTTGCTCTCTTCAGTGGAAGGGCTCCCTTCCCCTTGAGCAGACCTGACATTCATGGAGAACAGCTCGCGGCTGAATCTGTGACTGCCCCTCGCAAGGCCACCAGGCTGCAGAGCGAGCAGGCCTTCGTGCAGATGAGGCGGGGCCCAGCCTGGTCCTTGACCACAGGGGATTGGGAGGTGCCAAAGGCAGAGCCCAGAATATACACTGAGCATGACCCTTGCCTGCAAAGCTGATGAACAAGATCCTGTTCTTTTTCTCTCCTCTTTCCAGGGATCTAGTGGCACAGTCAGAGCTAGACTTTGAGTCATGAGTTGCCTTTCTGGCACGTGTGTTGTCTTGTTCAAAAAACTTGCCCTGTTTAGAAAATGTAAAAAAGTAATCTGTGTGATAGAAGTACCGTTTTTCCCACTAAAATAAGTGGGGACTAGACGGATGAGGTAGCACCAACCCACCAAGCCAGTGACCCGAGCACGATAGGACGTAGCTGCGAGCTGAGGGTTAGGCCAGGAAGGTCATGGGGTTGGCAACCGAAAGGTCAGAGTTTTCTGCGATTTTTCTCAGGAAATGCTGCAGCTTCAGTACACCCAGCTCACTTGTCTGGGACACTTGCCCGAGTAGATTAGGGAGGGGACGGTCAGTTGCTAGAGAGAAGCGGGGAGAAGTTCTGTCTGTCCACCTGACACTTGCCGTGTGCTCGTGGTGGGGACACGGAGGGCTGGGAGTGAGAGCAGCGCTGACCTTTGTGGTGGTGACAAGGCCGTGAGACTGTTAATAGGAACCTCTTAGCAGAACACTTGACGTGCTAAGTCCCCCACGTGTCCAGGGACAGGCCACATTGCTTGGCATGGTGATGTCTTCTAACTCCAAGGAAAATAGAAAGAATTTCAGATTATGGAGCTATTGCCACATCGGCCTGCACATGGGAACTATTTTTACAGCTAGTCTGAAATCAATTTGTACATGTGAATCTATGTATTATTAGTCAAAATAGACTGAGGTCCGTGTCTTCTGTGACTTAGTACAGCAGAAGTCTCTGTCCAGAAGTGTCCCCCCTTCTCCACGGCACATCATTTGACCATGTGAGATCTGTCCTCTGTGTTGGGTGACTTGGACACCTGCCTCCCACACAACACATGGTTTCCAGAAGAGCAGGGGAAGGAAATGCTGCAGGGCCTGCAGGCGGCCCAGCTTACCTATGGAGAGCTGGGGAATGTCTTACTGGGTGTCCACTTAGACTGGGCTCTGCTAAGACATGGCGCCAAAGTGTCACCATCACCGGCCAGTGGATTCCCCAGCACGGGGAATCCCCTGTGAGTCGCCACTTGGCATTTACAATCTCATGTCTTCTTGTATCTTTCAGGTGGCGAATGGTAGACTCCAAAGCCTCGAAGCCACGGTTGAGAAGCTCCTGACTAGTGAAAGCAAGCTGAAGCAGGCTACCCTGGCCTTGGAGCTGGAGAGGTCAGCCCTGTTGCAGACGGTGGAGCAGCTCCGGAGGCAGACTGCAGAGCTGAGTGGTCCAGGGCCTGACTGTGTGCAGCCCGGGCCCGCGGGTGACTGACCGCACAGGGACAGCCCCTTCCAGTGCACAGCTCCAGAGATGCTGGGACGCCACCCTAACACTGGCCAGGACTTCACTGAGAGACAGAAGATGCTGGCAGAAGAAGGAAGCGTGACGAGAGCTGCTCAGGGAGGAGACTGGCTCGCCAGCATGCAGATTCTTCTGAAGGAAAACTTGCATTTCAGGGGGGCGAACGTCCCAGTGCTTTTGTTGTTGTTTAGGTCCTGATTCACTCCTTCTCCAGTCCTCATTGCTGTATTCATAGATCTAGATGGCATGGACAGGAATAAACACACCTTTCTATTTCCTTGTCGTTTCCTTTTTCACTGCAGTTGTGAGGAGCATTCGTAACACTGTAGAATTTCTCAGAAGCTGGAAGGGCCACAGGTGCTTTCTTTGGCAAAGATGTGGGTCGGTCATTCTTCCAAAGAGACTATACCCTCAGCCTCTCTGACCGGGCACAGCTGGCCCTCGTCCACTTTTGTTACGGATGCCTGGGATGACCCTGGGCAGAGACTGAAAGTGATGTACTTAAATCTGGCATCTTGAATTTGATCACTGTCTTTAGTGCTTGATGAAGTTTTGTTTTTGTTTTTTGTTTTTTTCTTTTTTAAATAGTATGTTCATGCACTTTGTGCTTAGCTCTGACATACTGAACAAAATCCTTAATAAATGTTTTGGGGAAAGTTCATTCTTCGGGCTCCCCCAGGTTCTACTGGCGTGTGACCCGCACTTGCTGTCTGAGGTATTTCTTGGTGGTGGTTCATATCCGTATGGCATAGCGTGTGTCCCTGTCTGCAGATGTGGCAGGTGATGCAGCTGTGTGTCCTTTTGAGCCTTTCCCTAGGGAAATCTGATTCTTTGTAGCATTAGCAGTTGCACATCAGGATTTTCAAGGGTGCCAGAGATTGTGGGCCTTTCAGGAAAGGGATCAGGCCAGTTGAGAGCAGTTTCTCAGAGGCACAATGTGTCTTGAACACAACTCACAATGTAGCAACCCCCTCCTGCAGGAGGTTGAGGTCCCTGTGCCTTTAACAAGCTAAAGCTGCTCACCTTCACCCTGGTGCCCACCACCACAGTGAGGCCTCACTGATCTGAAAGGGCGATTTCCCCACAAAGGCCCGGGTGAGGGAAGAACTGTGAGCACCTATCACTTCTCCAACAGCAGAAACACTCTGGTCTTCATCAGTGTGACCACTTCTATTCTACAGGAGTTTCTTTGATCCTCTCAAGGGAGGGGCCTTCTTAAGCCCAAAGGGATTTTCATATGGGATCATTAGCCCTGTCGGGAGTTTATGGTACCACTCCCAGTGCCTAACACTCAGCGGACTTTTGGGACTGCCGTGTCAGCGGGTCACAGTTCCCTTCCTAAATCAAGACGTCACCCCTTGATCCCGAGCTGTTCCGCCAGATTCAGCTGGAGGAGTTAACATTTGAGGGCTGTTTTCCACGTCCTTTCCTGTCTGAATGTTGATGTTGAATTTGGGCATCTTGTTACTGTCACTCAAAACCACTGACTCTGCATTAAATAAAAAACAAGAAAGCAATAAAACAAAGACTTCATGTCCACACTTGCATGGTGTTCAGTTTTTTTTTTTTAAAGTTTGGGTTTTCACCTTTTTGAAAAAAGATTTATGCATGCAAGAGCTGAGGTGTCGGCTAGAGGTGCAGGGGGTGAGAGGATTCACCAGAGACAGAGTGGGGACCAGGTAGGTGGATCTACTGAAATACACTGCTGAGAGCAGGTGAGACAGGAGAAGTCTGCTGCATCATATGGATTAGCTCCCTGGCCGGGATCAAACTTGTGCTGTAGTGGCTGCTGATAGCTTCATAGTGCTAGGACTTAACCCCTTATGCCACCAAGGAGGCCCCTGGGTTTTCACTTTTGAGCACAAGAGTAAAGGAATGCCCCCTGCACCTCGGGTCAGTGTGAGTGTCACCTACTGCAGTGAAGGCGCCAGGGGTACTGATCTTCTGTCCCAGTGTGGTTGCCGCGTGCTGTTAATGTGACTCCTGTCCCCAGGGTGTGAGTGAGCAACACTGGTGAGACCAGTCATGAGGTCTCGCGGCCAGGGCATGTGCGGCCGGTGCTGTGCTGAAACTGCCCAGGGCAGGGAGGACTTGACAAGAGGCTGTGGATGCCAATTGCACGATCCCCAGCTGTCACTTAGCCAGGGAAGGACAAAGACAGAACCAACTCAGCACCGCCCAAGCCTTCTCAGAGGCAAAGTTTTAAACCCATTTAAGTTTCTGTTTTCTTCCAACACAACTATTTTCACATGCATTCCTGAAAATTGTCATTTGGTACCATTTATGTCACCTTAGACTTAAGACAGTATGAACCCTTGAGAGGTACATTATTACATAGAGTAAGAAGACACTTTACAGAGAACATTTCAGTCTGGGGGAGCTGTGCCCTTTGGGGATGTGTGTCTGGTTGGAGAAGAGCTACTCTGAGTGCTGTGGGCGCAGGATTTGTTACACCAAACAACTGTGTGTGTGTGGGAAGCTGAGAAGAGAAGGCGCAGGAGGCGCGTGAGTTGAGAAGGCACGTTAGTCCATTTGGGAAACACATGGATGCCGCATTGGGCCTGGGCAGGCGGCTTCCGGGAGGGCCATGTGCATGCATCTGCAGCCCCGTGTGGAGTGGTAGGTCTGGGCCCGCCTTAGGTCAGCACACAAGGGCAACGCTGGAGGAAGAGCTGGAGGTGGAGCAGAGGAAAATGAGGACCAGTCGCCCGACCAGGAATCTGCATCTGTCCTCACCATTTGACCAGCTGACCTCTGGACCAAAACAGCCCCTGCCTTCAGGTTTGCCCTCCAAATTTCACACAAGCACATCTTTGAGCCAGTTCCAACTTAGAACCCACTGGGGAAGGATGCCATAGGGAGTGTGGCTTAACCATGTTGACATGGAACAAGCCACCACAGTGACCTGGAGCCTGCCTGACCTGGGTGATGGCATGCACGCAAGTGTCACTGCGTGGAGGTGCTCCGTCACGTGTGTGTTCAGCGATCCCTTGAGGTCAGACTCAGGCTGATTTTGACTGGAGAGTCCTGTTGGTGCCACATTGGAGGCTGGAAAGTGCCAGGACTCTCACCCTTCATCTGCTCCCCTCCGTCAGGGCACCGAACCTACAGATTAAAAGGCAGAGACTTTCTATGTGACAAAGTAATTCACAGGCTACATTGTCTTAAATCTAAACTCTCTTCACGGATTCAGAAGTGCTCAGAATAACCCCAAACTGAGAAAGCCAGGGGGCACCTTCTACTTGATGCTAGAAAACTACCTCCCACCCCATTGTATAGAAGACTGCAGGAGCCGAAGAGGCTTCAGAATCACTTTATGACTGGATACAGGATCAGAGTAGATCTCCAGGCCCCTGACTGCCTAGTAGTAGAACCACCACCCAGCTTTGATTTCAGAGAGTTCAGGGAATCATTTCTCATATTATCTGGAGTCAAAGCAAGGAAAATTCTGCTTCAGAATTTAGCCTATATGGAATTTGGTCTATATAGTAAGAAGCCCAGATCAGGTTCTCCCCAGAAATATGGGGTCTCCAGGAGTCTTAATTTATCATGCGTTAAAACCAAGGGGTTTCTCCAGCACCCACCCCCCACCCCCGCCCCTGCCTGTGTGGACTTGGAGTCAGGAAAGCTGCAACAGGACCTGAAATGATTGAGCACAGTTTTGCCCTTGACAGTCATTTCTTTTTTTTAAGTTTAGGGTTTTGAAGACCCTTGTACTGATTTTAGGGAAAAAGATCAACACAAAATTACCTTTGATTTCCTATAAAGGAAACATTCTGCCATGTGTAATTTTTTCTGCCATCTTTAGAAATGATTAGGGAAATGTGAGAGTTAGGAAATGCAACAGGCATGACGGTCGTTATTTGGACAATTTGAAATTGGCAGCAAAAGATGAAAGGAAGGTTCTTAAGTATCTAGACTTTATAGATCCCTGCCTTTCTATCTCTAAATTGAATAACCAACCACTTGGGTTGTAAACCCTTATTAGCAAAGTGTTTGAATCGACTTCACCATATGTCTGTCTGTTTAAAAATTTCATGCACTACTTAATTGCATTATAAGGTTGAGGTTTTCAATGAGGCAGAACAAAATAAAGCATTTAAAATGTTAATAAAAAGTTGATAAGCAGTTTTTCTGAGGTCAGTGAACATTTCATCATTTAAAATATTTTTTTAAGACTGTGATGTGTTCATTCAGATGTCAGTTTCCAAGTTCAACCTAGTGTGATGGCTGCTTTTAATGTGCAGGCAGCATGGCTGAAAAATGGTGCTTCCCCAAAGCTAGTAACTATAATGAATGGAGAATGGAACAGCTGGTTCCACCGAGCCATGGTGTGTGTTCCTTCACTTATTCACCGGTTAAGCAAAAGTTTTGTTAGCATCTCCCTAATATCCATCTTTCCTGATGGAAGGCTAAAATAAATTAGTTGAAACTTGTTAGAATTTCATTCTTTTTTGACTAAGGTCTTTTAAAAAGCACTGAAATCTCTTCATTTGCAATGTTTTGAAAAAGCTATAAATCCAAGATTGAATAACGTGGTTTTTGGCCAACGATGACCTAAGCCATGGAAACACTCTGAACATCCTTTTCTGAAAAACCCTTTCCAGACCACTTTCCCAGGAGTCTTCTCTTGGGCTTCCTCTCTTGGACCTCTGCTCTCAGTGAAGGAGGCAGTGGGGTAGAAGATGCAAGCCTGGGAGTCTGCTCTTACCACGTGGCCGCCCGCTCACCTGCTTGTGCGCTGCTGCAGACATCTGTCCCCACACCAGCACCTTCTCTGCAGGAGCCAGAGGTGCTGCCCTGCCTGGGGCTGGGCTGAGCTGCACAGCATGTGTTAAAAATAGCGCCTATGAATTACTGCCCCTGTTTCTGCAGTGCCTTTTCCTCAGAACCACGGAAGCTGACTGGACCCTCTGACAGCCAAGTGGGGAAAGAACATCACATGTCACGTTCTCCCCCTCGGACTGATCTGTTTGTCCTAACTCTTCGGGCCCCGTCTTTGTATTATTGTTTTTGTCTTATTCCATATTTGGATCTGTGTTGACCAATTTTGGGTGTCTCCTTCTCCATTTTCTAGATAATTGTTTCTAAACCTCTGTGTCCCTAATTCCTTCCAACTGTAGGAAAGGCTGACTCTCATTACTGTTAAATGCTGGCTTTGGTTCCCAGCACCCCACAGGGGGACATCCTGAAGTACCATCTTGGAGCACCTGTGCAATCATGAGGTAGCACATTAGGGAAGTAGAGGCAAGTTTTCCTTGGTGGGGGTGGAGGGCAGAGGGAATCTACCATGTTATGTCAAAGTTCTACCCATGTCAAGTCTTCCAGTATTTTCTACCAAGTATGGCAGGGCTATTTTCCTTTGAGGTAAATGACAATCAACTTTACTCTGCTTCTCAGGCCCCAACTCTGCAGACATCGATGTCTCACCTGCTTGTCTGTTTTCACTCTTTGCAGCAAATAGTAGGTGTGTCCACTATGAACTCAGCCCTCATGTAGGATGTGGGGCTACAGCATGCCTAGGCCCTCCCAGAGTCCCTGAGTGTATCAGCACTGACACCTGACACCTATCTCTCCAGGTGATACTCAAGAGCAACTGGGCTGAGAACGACCATAGTGGTCTTTCTGCTTTAACCTGTTAAATCAACCCAATTGAATTTGCCTTCAGCTCATGGAAGCTAAAGTTATTTAGGCTTCAGTAACTTTTAAATAAGTTTTAGCTTACATAAGCTATTGTGAGTCATTGACAAAAATTTTGTTGACATCAAGGTGTTTTTCTACAATTTTCCATCTTATATTTGTCATTTACTTTCAAAAACATAAAGCTAATTTGCCTCGCCTGACATCCAAGCATCTGAGGGACTAATGCTTATTTTAAGAAAGTAAGTCCTTCCTCTGCATCCACATATCTTTAGATCAGGACAACTTAGTACTGGAAGTCCCTACTATCAAGAATAACTGCATTCTTAAAAGTCTGTACTCACTCTTCCTACCTGTATAAACTAAATTCAAACTTGTGTTTACTGAAACAGCTCTGACAGAGTAAAAACTATTTTGAACTGCTTCCTGGGTTCAAACCCTCACTTTGATTATCTTGTAAACTCTTCGTCTATCATTGAGACTTTATTTTCAATTAACCATAGTATAAATATATTAATTAAAAATCTCAGTAATTCCAGAGACTAGCAAATAGTGAAGAAGGTTGAATGCAAAGTATGATGATATAATAATAGCTAAAATACAGCTGGCACCATATGCTGGGCACTGTTATGAGCCTTTGATGTGGACTCATTTCATAAAGGAAGAGATGATTGGGACTCAATCTGTTTGTGACTGCAGAATGACCTCTGCTAACTGCTGGGCAGCAAGCCTTGGAAGGTGAGCTTGGTTAAAACTTCTAGTAAATACTAGATTGATCACTAGGTGCTCTGTGTGTCTGAGGATCTTTTCTGTAAGTAGGAAAGAAAATTAGGAACAAATTGATCACCAGGATTTTAAAATATTTAACCCTCTTCTCTTCTAATCCCCTAACAA